AACATCCACTGGAAGTAAGTCAGATGCTGTTTGAATAGTATTGTATAGAACGTGTGCTGTACAACTTATTCAAATAATTGTTTGGTTCAAACGTTCGTTAAGTTTCGTAAAAACATTATTGATGCCTCTTCTAGCTTTTCCACCAAAATTTGCGTTAGTGTCAAAAATAAAAGTATTGTCTCACAATAGGCAATAATTTTATTGTTCAAATTATTCTTTTCTACAATAGTACTTATTGAATCAAAAATTATTTATGAAGTTTCACCCGGCAGCCACCCAGACAGTATATTTTTTAGGGGAGCCTGACTGCGATACCAAAAGGCCTGGGTTCGAATCTCGAAGAAGGCATGGTTGTAACTGTCTGTCTCTTCATAGGAGGCAATGGTGGCCCACCTATTTGGTGCCTCCATAATAAAGAGACCACCATGTCTGGCCTTAGTATGGATTAATGGACTCTGTTACAAAACTGTAACTGTTCACAATCTGCCATTGGGAAAAAAAAAAAAAAAAGTTTCACCTGGCAATGAAACAAAATCTAATATTCTAATTTTAACTCCTGTTTCTGGATCAAAATGTCTAACAATTCTGAGAAATAATTTTAAATCTTTGTTTTTGGAAGCATCATAATATATGGACATAAAATGTGCATTTATCTAATTCTTTCTGCAATTGTGAAAATGAATAGGGTGAAAAAACATTTCAAATAATTGCTTCGGTTTTTGTCCTTGCATGTGCAAATTTTTTGTCATACAATGGTTTTGATCATTTGCGATGTACAATCAATTGATCTGAAACTTTGATTGTGATTTACGGTGTGGAAAGCAAATAGCCCTTCAGCTAATGCTAGCTGTTCCTTCGTTAATAATACATATTCCTTGACGAGACGTAACGACAATGATCAAACACCACCGAGTAAATCTAACTCATTACATCGCCTAATTTAGTTTACTCTGCATGCATTTTATGTGTTTTTTATTTCTTTATATTCACTATAATAATTAATAAATAATACACTATATAATTACATTCACTATAATAATTAATAATAATTTTTACAGTACATTTAAAATAAGAAATGCAGATGTTTTCTAAAAAGCGGGACATTTTTAAAAACCGTGGGACGCAGGACAGTCTCTCCGAAATCGGAACGTGTGGTCACTTTAATCGTGACAGTTTTTCAGTTGTTGGAAAATGAAAATTAAATAGTGACATTAAGCCTTTTTATAATGTAAAAATATGTCACATTTCACCTAATACAGAAAAGATGGAACTCCGCTTATCCTACATTCTTCTAACATTTATAAAAACAATAATTTATTTTGTACTACATAACATACAGAGAGCGCTCAAACCCAGAACAGCTGCTTTTGTTTGCTGGAAGAGTCTAAGATTTGTAGGTATGATACTTGAAAGTACGGATGAGGTAGCAGGAGAGGAAAAGACGATACCACATCATTTACAGCTCATGCTTTGCGAGTGCAGCTAGCATTTCGTTAGTATGAATATAATAATTATTTTTCTCATTTTTATTGATCGTCTGCTCTTTTTTAAATTTTGATGACCTGATTTTAAAAATCTTGAGTTAAATTTAAATAAGATCTAGAAAGAAATAATACCTGTTCTTTATACAAAATGGAATTAAAAACTAAATTGTTCTTTCACAAGTGAATACAATACTCTTTACGTATAAAGGTAGGCCTTTTAGAACTCCATTAAAATATACCATACTAAAACATATTATTTTGTGTGCCAGATTAAAAAAATAATAAATAATTAAGTTTTGTTATTATCATATTAGCAGTAAATATTATAAATATCAAAAATTCATAGTTGCAATTTCCTACAATACCTTAAGTAAATAAAAACTTTATAGTTACTTATCGTAACTGCATGTAATGCTCAGTTACTTTACCGAAAAAAGAGTTCTAGTAAATATTACATTTCATTGTAATAAACAAGATCATGTAATTTTGCCAAAATGTTATGCTTTAAGAAAATTTTATATAAGCATACAATGCGTACAATTTTACATTTCAAATGGGTATTTCTCTTTGAAATATTATATTTGTTTCATGAATTGATAAAAATTAATTACTCCTTAAACAAAATGTTCAATAAAACAAAGAGCATAAAAATAAACAGTGAAACTCCTTCCACAGTTTAGGAAAAAGCCAGCAAGCATATCTCTAATGCTCACTAAAAGCCATTCCGTGATCTAAACTCTTTCAGTCGCAAGCTATTCCAGAACCTTTCCTTTCTCTTACCAGAGTAAATAGAATTCAACAAATAATAATAACAAAAAAATAATAACAAAAGCAGCCATTCCAAGACTGGCAATCTAGTTATAAAAATGTACTGTTGCAACAATTTGCTATTAAACTTTATATAATGTGGTGCAAAATGGCAACATTAACACAGTAAATATTGCCGACAGGCCACAGAAAACAAAACTGCAGGGCACATCAAGTACTGGTTTAAATTATTAAACACCAGTAATGATATAAAATGAAAGGTCTATTCATCTTCTTTTAATAATAGGTAAATTTCTCATCATTTTTTGATAAAGAAGATTATGTGATAACATTTTTGGTACTTATATAAGTGTATAGTAACCTTTGAATTAAAAACCACACACACACAAAAAGCAATGAAATGATAAATATACCTAACTTTTACTTAATTTTCTTATTGGAACATTATGGCAATGATTTATATATATATTTTCATATTTCACAATGTCTTGTACAGTCAAAAATCATTAATTCGGACACCCATAATCCGGACCCCAAAACTACAAACTTTCTGCGCATGTGTCATTACGCATACGCATAGGCATTTACACATGCGCATAAGTCCTTTACGGCAAATATGCGTGTGCACATGCCCATAATACGTTTACGCATGCACGTTTAATGTATAACGGACGGTATAAGCTAAGCTAAAATTATCTAATTCAGTTAATGTTGCAGATTGCGTTGTTCTTTAATCTTCGAATTGGATCCGGCTTATTATTTTTTGTAGACTGTTAGAGCAATTTTATAAAAGTAAGCTTGAACTTTCGATTATGTCAAATAGCATTTCCGATATATATTTACTAATATGTAAAGGATCTACAAAGCAAAAGTATGTTTTAAAGTCCTTTAAACAAAAAGTGGAATTGCTGCAAAAATTGGATAAAGTCATAATCCTTCGTTTCTCTAACCATTCCGAAATCTGTTTATTAATTTCACGCTGCTCTGTGGCAGAGGGGGGGGGAACGCCGCGGTACGCAATGAATTGGAAGTTGATCTGTCAGCACTATCCTTATCTTCAGGGCAGATGTTTTTATTTTATTTGGCTTATAATTCCTTACTAAATGTAGTAATTCATCTCGATGTACTCCGTCTTTAATATGATTTAAATCAAATTCCTCGTCATTATAATTCGCTTCCGATAGCGAAGAAAGTGACACAGAGGTTGAAAACGAAAAAATTTCGATTGACATATTAGTCGGTATTCTCGACACAGCAATTATAGGACTTGAACAGTGGAACTTTGTAACTGAACAAGAAATTATGTCTGTTTATAGAATTAATGAGAAAGTATTATCACATAAAAAACGAAGCAACTTAAACAACTTACATTGACAGAAATGTTTAATAAAGTAAACAAATAAATATTAAGCTTTTTTTTTTTTTTTTTGCAAATTTTGATACCCTTTAGATCATAATTGTTCTTTATTTCAGAAATTACACTTTCATATTTTTAATTTTATAATTTCTCCATGCCATCTTACCAGATTTAAACTGATGGTCTATAATCCGGAAGAATCGATAATAGGGAATCGCCGAAGTCCTGATGAGTCCAGATTAACAACTTTTGACTGTAGTAATAATTTGCATGAGCTTTAAGTTAAACCAGATTTTTCTTCAATTCCCACATCTTCTGATTATAAAGCAAGCATGCCTTTCTGTAAGCTAAAAATCACCTGTTTCTTCGGGGAAAGTGCAGAATCACCCACTGCTTGCCGCGTTTTTAAGAATTGCACATAGTCGGTATCCATGTACATATCGACCTATTTTCACTTAAAAAGTCAAAGAAAATTTGACAAAAATCCAATTCTTCTTACTCTTGTAAAAAGCGCCAAACAAATAAGTGGGCGATTCTGCACTTTACCCGTTTGTTCTGTCATTAGAGGAAACAAATGCAGAATGATTTTTTTTAATAAACAGCTGAATACGTTTTTCTTTCAAATTCAGCAGCCAATTAATAAATTGGCCTTGTACATGATGGTGACAATCCTCTGCATCTTTTTTTTTAACCAAGAAAGGATTGTAATACAATTTTTATTAGAAGTGAAGAAAAGAAGAAGAGGAAAAATATATATGGTTTAGATCAACGGTTCTCAACCTTCTGACTAACGCATGCCACCTAAGTAAAAATTGAAAACTTTAGTACCACTACTCTTGGATAAAGCTCAGATTGCATATTATGCACGTTAGAGAAAAAACTCAATCAGGATGTTGGAGTTTTAATTTTTGAATTTAATACGGGTAAAGTGCAGAATCGCCCACTTCTTTGTTTGGCGTTTTTCACAAGAGTAAGAAGAATTGGATTTTTGTCAATTTTCTTTGACTAAGTGAAAATAGGTCGATGTGTACATGGATACCAAGTTTGTGCAATTCTTAAAAACGCACCAAGCAGTGGGTGATTCCGCACTTTCCGCCAAAATACCACCTACTTTTTTCTTGCGTACCACCCGTTGGGAACCCCTGGTTTAGATAATCTACCAAGAAGCAATGAGATACAAATAAAATGTTAACCAAAAGTGCTCCAAAGTATTTTATCTCTGCAGAATATTCTCAAATATCAATAATTTAAAACAACCTTAGCAGGAAGCAGGATATTTATCATGAAAAAAAATTAATTAAAGTTAATTTATTATACATTTTATAATATTCATGAACCGAAATAGTCATTTTTGCACCCTTGAAAATTATAGGAATTAAAATAAAACTAACTTTGTATAAGCAGTTCCTATGTCTAAAATCACAGAGTATTTGTCAGCACCGGTAATCGTCTCGTACATCGGCATCCCTGTAATCTTCACGTACTTACAGTTAGATAGTTATAAAATCAATTACTGGACTTGTCAACTTGCTCTTTTTAGCTTAAGCTAACTTGTATGTAAACACACATTTAAGAAGTTCGTAATGTTGAGTTGCCTCCTCATGCTCTCAGAAAGTTTCCTTTTTATCCCTTTTGTAAGTTTAGGAAAATGCTGAATAGTAATCTCTGAGTCATTGATCATATTTATCATTTTACATATTTTTCTTCGCATTTTTAAAATTAACCATTGCTATTATTATTTAATTAATATCCCACGATTCAGGTTAGTAGTTTTTTAGTTCATTATTTAGCAACAATATTTAGGAGCAACGGAAGCAGGACTTGAATTACCGCACTCAACAAACGCAGTAAGCATGTGTATGTAAATTGCAATTAATAATAAGTGCGATATTGTTTACTTCAGAGTAAAGTGTTAGTGTTAACACTATTTTAAATGGTTTGATTTTAATCCTACGTGAATCCTGATTATAAAAAATAATGGTAAGCTACACATTTTTCATCCGATTTTTTATTCATGCAATATTTAATTTTTAACATAGGAATTCATGGTAAATTTATCTTGATATGTGTAATTTAGTTTTACAAAATTAGGAAAATGTTTTAATTTCATAGTTTTTGATTTTTTATGTAGATTCATTAATATTCTAAATATTGTTTTCGTTAAACAATTTTCGTGTTAGAAATGTTGGTCTTTACCACACTGTAGTCGATTATTTAGAATTTTGTGTTGCATATTCGATTTATTTAAATAGCGGTTAAAGATTGCTTACTGTAGATGAAGAATGTATGGCAAATTCGAAAAATAAAATCCTGAGTTTGTGTATTTTAACAACACAGATGCAGTATATATACGAATGAAGTTTTTGGCGATATTTTCTATAAGTGGTAAAGAATTCTTCTGGCGAAGAATTTTTAAATTTGATTTCTTTTATGCACTATTAGTATTATTAAAAACTTGGAATGGATATATATATATATATATATAAGAATGCATACATATATGTAGTCAACTCCTCATTAACCTGGCATTGTCTGGAAAAAAAGGTGTAAAATTCCATGAGATAACAACAGTGATAGTAAGTGGTTATTTAGTAGTTGTTATTATCCTCAACAGTACTTAATGTAGAATGCCTGACCATTACCAAATCATCTGTTAAAATTAAACTACAAAATTTTAAAAATAAATATATTAACATTAATTCTATCAAAATACAAGAATAATATAAGAAAAAAATCTTGGGTTGATCTTTACATTATGGTAACTTGGCGTTTTTTTGGCGAACATTTGGCGACCAACTCTCCTACAGCAACCCTCTATTTTTTTTTCCCGCCCCCATTTTGTCTTCACGAAGTAAAGACGTGTTTCTTTTCTTTTTATCCGTTGATCTTTACATTACGGTAACTTGGCGATTTTTTGGCGAAAATTTGGCGACCAACTGCCCTACAGCAACCCTCTATTTTTTTTTCCCCGCCGCCATTTTGTCTTCACGAAGTAAAGACATGTTTCTTTTCTTCTTATCTACTGAACACTTCTTCCAACAATCTACTAGCCGAATTACACTTATGCTAGAAATTTATCAAACAAAACTGCTTAATCATGACAAATATTCACTGCAAAATTGGGAAAAAGTGCACAATACCATACACCTTACGCGTTTTTCAAAATAACACATACACATAAACCATGCACACGCCGACTTATTTTTACTTAAAAAAACATCCCAGAATTGCACAAAAATGGCATTGCGCACACTCTTCACTATATCCATGTACACTGCTTTTTTCTCATAAATTCGAAAAATTTCACGAAATTACATGACAATTTTCTCAATCTTTAAACCCGGTAAAAAGAACATATATGAAATTACCTGATCGCGAAAAAGTATTTACCCTTTACAAATATGAACATTTCCACATATAAAATAAATAAAATATCCAAAAACTTTTACCTCTAAATCATCTATTACATTATACACGTCACCAACGAATTCATACATGAAGCATTACAAATATTTATTATCAAATATTTAAATTATTTCCATGCACATTTAATTTCAACTTAAACATACACCAAATTCCTACAAGTATAAAATTCACAAAATAACTATCATTTCATTAAAATATAATTAAATTCAAAAACACCACTTAAAATATACATGAGCACATACATTCAATTAATAAAAATTACCTTACAATCCTAATTACTTTAAACTAAATCATTGCTAATAACAATTTTCCCAATAATACCAAATTCCTTTCCACCTTACATTTCCAACAATGCATAAAAATAATTAAAAATACTAACTTACCTAATCTCCTTCAGAATCTTCATTACGTGGCGGATACACTTTTCTTCATTCTCTTTCAGAATCTTTAAAATCATACTTATCTTTCAAGCAAGATACCAGGTAAAATAAATAACATAATAAAACATGTTTATTTCTCTCTCACACAACCTTAAAAAACATTTCTTACTATCCTTTTCAATACCACTAAATACCCATTTCGAATTCACTTTACTTACGGCCATGGGATCCAAAAATTCACAAACACACTATTCACACAACACAGAAAAAGCCAAATACAAAATTTCCAGATTTTTTCCGATTTCCCCCCTTTTCCGATTAAAGAACCGTAATTCGTCCATTAATATCACATGACATATCCCATGATCTCTCATTTCCCCCACACAAAATAATGCGTAATCGGAACTCAGTACCGCTCACATTATTACCAAAGTCCCAGGTAGTAACCTTTATCGCCTCCAAAATGTCGCCAAACTACCAGTTACCGTAATGTAAAGATCAACCTTTTTATCTACTGAACAGTTCTTCCAACAATCTACTAGTCGAATTACACTTATGCTAGAAATTTTATCTAACAAAACTGCTTAATCATGACAAATATTCCCTGCAAAATTGGGAAAAAGTGCACAATACCATACTCCTTACGCGTTTTTCAAAATAACACATACACATAAACCATGTACACGCAGACTTATTTTTACTTAAAAAAAGCATCCCAGAATTGCACAAAAATGGCATTGCGCACACTCTTCACTATATCCATGTACACTGCTTTTTTCTCATAAATTAGAAAAATTTCACGAAATTACATGACAATTTTCTCAATCTTAAAAACCCGGTAAAAAGAACATATATGAAATTACCTGATCGCGAAAAAGTATTTATTTACCCTTTCCAAATATGAACATTTCCACATATAAAATAAATAAAATATCCAAAAACTTTTACCTCTAAATTATCTATTACATTATACACGTCACCAACGAATTCATACCGCAAGCATTACAAATACTTAGTATCAAATATTTAAATTATTTCCATGCACGTTTACTTCAACTTAAACGTGTACCAAATTCCTACAAACATAAAATTCACAAAATAACTATCATTTAATTAAAATATCACTAAACCATGTACACGCCAGACTTATTTTTACTTAAAAAAAAGCATCCCAGAATTGCACAAAAATGGCATTGCGCATACCCTTCACTATATCCATGTACACTGCTTTTTTCTCATAATTAGAAAATTTCAAAAATACATTCAATTTTCTCCCCCCCCCCCCCCCCCCCCCCCCCCCCCCCCCCCCCCCCCCCCCCCCCCCCCCCCCCCCCCCACCCCCCCCCCCCCCCCCCCCCCCCCCCCCCCCCCCCCCCCCCCCGGTAAAACCCCCCCATTAGAAAATTCTCAAAAATTATGACAATTTCAAAAAAAGCAATACCCCCCCCCCCCCCCCCCCCCCCCCCCACCCCCCCCCCCCCCCCCCCCCCCCCCCCCCCCCCCCCCCCCCCCCCCCACCCCCCCCCCCCCCTAAAAAAAATCAACCATAAAAACACGCAAATCGAACAAACAATTCCACATATAAAATAAATAAAATATCCAAAACTTTTACCTCTAAATATCTATTACATTATACACGTCACCAACGAATTCATACCGCAACCATTACAAATACTTATTGTCAGTATTTAAATTATTTCCATGCACGTTTACTTCAACTAAAACGTATACAAATTCCTACAACAAATAAAATTCACAAAATAACTATCATTTAATTAAAATATAATTAAATTTAAAAACACTACTTAAAATATAAATGAGCACATACATTAAATTAATACATACATAAATACCCATTTCGAATTCACTTTAGTTACGACCATGGGATCCAAAATTCACGAAACACTGTTTCACCAACACACAGAATAAAAGCCAAATACAAAATTTGCAGATTTTTTCTCCGATTTCCTCCCTTTTCCGATTAAAGAACCGTAATTCGTCCATTAATATCACATGACATATCCCATGATCTCTCAATCCCCTCACACAAAATAATGCGTAATCGGAACTGAGTACTGCTCACATTATTAGCAAAGTGCCAGGTAGTAACCTTTATCGCCTCCAAAATGTCGCCAAACTACCAGTTACCATATTGTAAAGATCAACCAAATCTTGTTCCTTGTGTTTTATTTAATTTACATAAATAAATGAACTTATTCATTTTAATTGCTGAAAAAATACAGGTAAATTGTTAATAGTATTTTTGGCTAAAGTGCAGAATCGCCCACTTATATGGCACATACCGATGTGTACATGGACAAAATCAAGCGAGTGTGCAATGCCAAGTTTGTTTTTTTGATTCTCTGATTTTTTTTTAAAGTTAAAGCAGGTCGATGTGTATATCGATACTGAGGTTGATCTTTACATTATGGTAACTTGGCGTTTTTTTGGCGACCAACTCTCCTACAGCAACCCTCTATTTTTTTTTCCCGCCGCCGTTTCTTTTCTTTTTATCTACTGCACACTTCCAACAATTTACTAGCCGAATTACACTTATGCTAGAAATTTTATCTAACAAAACTGCTTAATCATGACAAATATTCACTGCAAAATTGGGAAAAAGTGCACAATACCATACTCCTTACGCGTTTTTCAAAATAACACATACACATAAACCATGTACAACAACAAAACGCCGACTTATTTTTACTTAAAAAAACATCCCAGAATTGCACAAAAATGGCATTGCGCACACTCTTCACTATAATCCATGTACACTGCTTTTTTCTCATAAATTAGAAAAATTTCAAGAAAATACATGACAATTTTCTCAATCTTTAAAAACCCGGTAAAAAGAACATATATAAAATTACCTGATCGCGAAAAAGTAATGAACATTTCCACATATAAAATAAATAAATATCCAAAAACTTTTACCTCTAAATCATCTATTACATTATACACACGTCACCAACGAATTCATACCGCAACCATTACAAATACTTATTGTCAGATATTTAAATTATTTCCATGCACGTTTACTTTACTTCAACTAAAACGTATACCAAATTCCCTACAAACATAAAATTCACAAAATAACTCTCATTTAATTAAAATATAATTAAATTCAAAAACACTACTTAAAATATAAATGAGCACATACATTAAATTAATACATACATAAATAACCCATTTCGAATTCACTTTAGTTACGGCCATGGATCCCAAAATTCACGAACACTGTTTTCACACAACACAGAATAAAGCCAAATACAAAATTTCCAGATTTTTTTCCCGATTTCCCCCCTTTTCCGGTTAAAGAACCATAATTCGTCCATTAATATCACATGACATATCCCATGATCTCTCATTTCCCTCACACAAATTAATGCGTAATCGGAACTGAGTACTGCTCACATTATTACCAAAGTCCCAGGTAGTTACCTTTATCGCCTCCAAAATGTCGCCAAACTACCAGTTACCATATTGTAAAGATCAACCGATACGGAGTTTGTGCTATTCTTTGTGTTGTTATTTTCAAGTTGATGCAGAATCGCTCACTTAAATGGCGCGTATCGATACAAAGTCAAGAGAGTGTGCAATGCCAAGTTTGTGCAATTCTCTGATGTTTTTAACTAAAGTGCAGAATAGCCCACTTATTTGTTTGGCACTTTTTACAAGAGTAAGAAGAATTGGATTTTTGTCTATTTTCTTTGACTTTTTAAAAGAAAATAGGTCAATGTGTACATGGATAAAGTCAAGAGTGTGCGCAGTGCCATTTTTGTGCAATTCTAGGATGTTTTTTTAAGTGAAAATGGGAAGACTCAGATAACTGGCACTCCCACTGTTGGCCTCCCACTGTTTGGTGCCTATCGCTCAAGTAGATGAACGCGATTTCTGGAAGTTCGCCAAGTGCCGGTTATCCGAGTATCCCCGAGAAAACTAATGGAAGCATGATTTGAAATCGGAAGGCAAAAAACTTAATGACAGTGAAATAAAAGTATTATGCATTGTTTGAAAGTTACCTATTTTTCTCTACACTTAAATGCCATTTATACAAATTACCAAAACAAATCAATGTAATTTTTTTTCTTTTTAATTGTTTTTATATGAAATATTTTAAAATTATGTAAAATATTGTTAACGACCCATTTTATCTCAATTTATTTATTTTGTTCAAATTTGAGAAGAATCATATTTTCTAAGATTAATTAAACCTAAACAAACTAAATATAACAAAATTTCAAAAATTTTTATATTTTATCTAAAAAATCTGTGCTGTCTAAATAGGACACTGAGATAAAGGGGATGAAATTTGCACTTACATGTTGTAGTGTTCTCTTCAATAGTGAAAAACCATTTCCAAGTACAAAGTTTTACTTTATCCGACTAAAACTTTCGTATTTACATGAGAGCTGAACTATCAATTGAATTTGACTCTAATTTTGGTGGAAAGGCCCAACGGAAGCCTTCAAAGTGTTTTGTTGCATTTCCCACAGCATGTTTTGGATTTTCCTTTGCAGCTCTGTGTTTGACAATGATGCTGTTTTTCTTTCTTTGAAAGTGGCCAGCACAATCTTTACAGATGTCTTCTCTTGTACTAGAAGGAACAGAGAAAATCGTGAGTCTACTTGTTGTTCTGATCACAGTCTCTTCGAGACAAACTATTGCTATAGCTCTTCGGAATTCCTTCAAGTTTGGGCTATAACTTTTGTTGACTCCCTAGTGGGGGGATACTCAAATAACCGGCACTTGGCGAACTTCCTGAAATCGCGTTCGGCAACTTGGGAGCGCCATGCAGTGGGAGGAGAGTTTAGGTTGCTAGTTTAGATCTTCACTATGCTAGGAAAAAAGGGAAGGGATATTTTCTTTCTATGTGTAAATACTTTTGCTTTGGCTGTCATGTGACTTTGCAGATGAATCGTAGTGCTGATCACGTAACTTTGTCAGCAGACGTGGTGCATACGCTTATATGCTGTTTGTTGTTCCATATGATCATTCGCTATTTAATTATTTTATTAGAACAAAATATTATTATTTATTAGACTTTTTAAAATCTATTAGACATCTAAATACTATTAAAATAATAATTATTTAATTACCGGAGACGGGCTTCAAGTTGCCATAAACCATTCGCTATACTAAAAAAATTTTAGAAAATACAATTACTATATTTAGCCTCAGGCGATTTTCGCCTAGCACAGGTTCTTCCCTATATCGGGCTCAAGAGGGAAATTTTGGAAAGTATCTTTTGACGTCATTTCCCTTTTAGTGCCAAAAAAATCCTTCCGAGAATTTGGCGATTTTCGTCGATTCAAGATGACGGAAAAAATTGCGCCAAGTGCTGGTTATCTGAGTCTTTCTGTACCTTTGTGTCCTCTTACAATCTTCATATAAAAATTGTTCTAAACTGCTGAAATTTGTAGCAACAATGACAGTAATATTATCTTTCCTTTGCACCAGGAAACTGTCAGAGTTCTTTTCATAATCAAAATCAGAAGATGTACTTCTTTCTTTCTTCCACATAGATTTAGTCTTCTAAAGGGCACTCGTGGCTTTTGAAAATCCTGTTCATCAAGGCTCTTCAAAAGATCAATGCTGGTAAAAAAAAAAAAAAAAACTATCAAAATATATGCAGCTTGAAGGATTCACAATATTCTATGTCAGTTTCATCACAACCCAGATACTAACATGAGTATCATTTCTTACCTTCAAATTCTTAGCTTCAGTAGACAAAAAAAATTGTAACAATATCCTCGCTTCCACAGAAAGCCCAAAGTTTGTAACCAAAACATATTATCTTGCCTCAGATAAATTGTTTCAGACCATTCCTACTATAGTACATGATAATTATTTCATCAATGCTTAGATTTTCTGAGGTGTTCAAATTTCATAAAATTATTATTGAGTATGGCAAACAAAGGTTTTACTTTGAATGATCGATCCATTGGCTTGTGGAGTACCTTTGCTTAATTAAGCAATTACCTACCTCCACATCATCGTTAAGAAGAAATAAATTAGAGTAAGCAATGGCTAAATAAAATGACAAGAACCGTTATGGGTTTAACGAGTTAAGAGATTGATAATAATTCCACACAATGGAATGAAAACCTCTTTCAACAGCTCTTTTACCTGAGGGGCAGGAAATTCCGCTAAGGCAGTTGAGTAGTGAAAGAGGTGTTAAGCGTAGGCAATTGCCGGCACGTGACCAGCGTGAAAGATAACAGATTGAAAGAGGAGCATTGTCCAGGCCCCTGGAAAGCCAGCAGAGATCGCTAATGCCTTGATGAATGGTTGGGGGAAGAGGTCAAAGATCTAAGAACTGGTTGCGGGGAAAAGAGAAGTTACGTGAAGGAAGACAGTTTCTTAGGAGATTGTAAACTTCATTGGAATAAAACTGCTCAAAAAGCTATTATGGAGTTTTATATTTCAATGCAGTTTTCATCTCCTTGAACAACTCACTTGTAGTTGATTCAGCCTGTATTTCCCATTTTGTGTATTAAGGGGATTTAATTCTTTATCCAAGATGACTGATGCCTTTTAGCTTTTTTTCTGCTCCTTGTTGTCAAAATGCTACAGCTTGTGAATGGTTCAAGCTGGAAATTGTCTCCAGTTCTAATTTCCGGAGACCCAGGAACATTGTCAACAGTAATCTCACCAGTATTTATTTCATTGTCATACCCTTTATCTTCGTCAGTAGTTTCATCATTGCTGTCATCTGAATCTAAACTATTTAATAATTCTAATGCTTCTTCTAACTTGAGAAATCTTTGTATTGGCATAACTCAGCGGTGGTAAGATACTAGGAGATAGTTTTTTTAATTTTATTTTATACTGTTATAAATGAAGAAATAACACTTCAGTTCCATGCTTATCGTAAAGGACAGTAAAAAAAACACGCTCACTAATGCGAAGAATGAAGTTTCCAGATGCTAGAGGAGGGGGCGAGACATATAACTCATGCTAGCAGTAGCTTATACCGTCCCCAACGTGTTTCAATTGACAAAGTATTCGCACCAAACAAATACTGATTTCCATGCGCTATTTTTCAGCCATCTATTAAATACGACGATGGGATAAAATGGGTTAATTTAATGCACATTGAGTATTATAACTCACTAAAAACTGGAATAAATGTAAAAATAACTATTTTTTGGTACAGAACTGGGAAACTTTTTAGAATCGATCTTTTAATTTTTCCCTCACTAAATATAATACAGTAAAGTGTATAAATAGCAGGGGAATTTTATGTGTTTGTTTCTTGCTTATGAAATGCTTATAACTGGTATTTTTATAATTTCAGACTCAACTATATGTGCTGTTTGATCATGCTTGTGGTTATGCTGTATTTCGTGTCACTGAATACACTGAAACTCCTCCACCTCCTGCTACTATTTTAAACTTGGGCAAATTTCAGAGTTTTGTGAGCTTATTATCATTTCAACCTTTCAAGACTGGTCGTGATGCCTTGGAAAATATGAAAAGTGTTATAGAAGGTTTATCTTTTTATTATAGTCTATTTATATACTTGGGTACTTTTCGGTTAAAGGGATGCCAATAGGTATCAGATGTGAACATTGATTTAAAACCTAATTTGAGAAAAGAATGTGTTATCACTTGTAATATAAAGTTTATGAGAAGATTTATTCATTTTATTAAATCTTAATTAAATACAAAAAACAAAGAAATACTCAAATTCACAAATTAGAATGCTTGTAATTATTCCAGGCCACAGTTACATAATGATTCATTTAATGTGTTGCAATTGCTAGATTGCATCAATGTAAGATCTGGGAACCGGAAGTAAATAAATTAAATAGCTGTCAGAAAAAAAATGTGAGGACTTTCAAACAAGTATTTGTTCTGTAGTTTCCTTCTTGTATTGCAACATCATTTTTAATGTTTCAGTGATAAAATACAGTATTTTGTGGTTTTCTAAAAAACAAAATCTTTTAGTATGAATAATACCTTTGTTTTGAAGGAACTGAATCATGAGTGCTTATCATTCAGTAATTGTCACTTCGTGTAGTCCATATGGATTCTTTCCAAATATAATAATAATAATAATTTAAAATCTCTATAAAAAAATAGGTACTTGTTGATTATCAACATCCTTTCAGAAAAGTTGTCGATTAATTTTTTGGCAAGCTATTATGCAAAAGGCAATGGCTGTATTATGAAAAGGTGCCTTTCAATAAATTCCATGGAAACGTAATGGATGAATAAAATTTGAAATGCAAGAAACATCTCTAACTAAACACTTAATATTTTTCGGGAAATCCTTATGTGATTTTATTTTTATTTATTTATTTATTTTTTAAGTTATGCTCTGTTGTTCACCTCATGTACACTGGGATCTGTTTTGGTTAAAAAAAAAATACAGAATTTTACAGATTGACCATTGGGCACACTGTTCTCGTTATGTACACAGCAGTATGTTTTCTCTTAAAAAAACATCAGAGAATTACATAAATTTGTCATCGTGCATCAGTTTCAATCCATAAAATTCAAGCTTATAAAGTATAATTTCATAGAATGTGAATTTTTGCATTCTCTCGTGTAGAGCTAAATACCATGTTTCTGAAGAAATTAAACACTTTTTTCGTCAGCCAGCAAACTTCACAATCTGATTATAAAAAAGAAAATGTACTCAATACAAAGGCAAGCACTAATCAGAAAAATGACTGTCAAATTTGAACATAGAGATATGCATTTGTCACTTGCATGTATGCATGTACCTCAGTGCCATATAAATACATTTTGATGATTTCATGTATTACCTAATTAGATGACATAGTGCCTTGCCTTATAAATACTTTTCAGGGAGGTTCAAATAACTAGAACCAAATATGATTGGATCGATGCTTGTTCTTCCACCTTATTTGCTGTTATGTTATTGCATAATTACTCATGAGATGAAATAAACACCTGGTGCACAATTGCAGTTGGCACATTAACCAAAAATTACCTTTATTTGTATATTGTGCCTTTATTTGTATATGTATTAAAAGAAGTGAAAAAAGTGAGTGTTACCTATGTATCACATAAATTTAAAAAAAAAGTCATAAAATAATGTCTTCGTAATCAGCAGGTAACACATTCCAGAAAACTGGTAATTGACAAAGTATATAACGGGTGGCCAAAGTGCGGCTCGCGAGCCAGATACAGCTCATATAAAATATATGTATGAAATATGGTAAACTAAAACTATTCAGTGTCAAAAAAGAAGTAATTAATTAGTTTAGACTCTTTTTACAAAGTTATCAGGGATTTCTTTCTATTTAAAACCTCCTCCACTACTTCTATAATGATGTAAATATGAACTTGTGGCTTTTCGAAAATCTAGATGCGGCTCTCGAACATTCCTGAATTAAAACGTGTGGCTCTTACTGACATGAAGTTTGGCCAACCCTGGTATATAACTTATTATTTATGTAACATACTTAAATTTCAGTTGATAATTAATTACATCAAAAAATCAGTATTAAATGAAGTAATAATAAAATACATAGGTACCCTAAATTTTATATTCTTTTCTTATGTATGCAGATAATCTTTAAAAAAAAATCAAAGACAGCATGAAAGTTTGTGCAAACGATATGGTTGTATAGGATCACATGAAGATTTCTGAACATAGTTTGTGTTTCATTTCTCTTATTTCTACTACTCTACATAGTATTTCACAGGCAATTTTGAAAGATCTGAATCTAGACACTGAATATCATAGAGGGCAAGGTTATGATGGCAGTTGTTATTAGCATTGAGCATAAAGGGGTGCAATAATGATTGATGTTTCCAACAATTAAAAGCCGTTATCAGAGGAGTTATAAAGTAACAAGAATAAGTGAAATATTCATAAATTTGCAAGACTAGTTTTAAAAGTTTAAATAATGTAAAACCTTCTTCAACTGCAGAAGTGCTAGTCATTTTCACTTTTGCAAATGAGCAGTATAAACATACACAAGCAGTATAAACAAGTCATTTGCAGTTTTCAAATGAGTAGCATAAACATAATGTTCCTATCTTGTGCTACAGAAGGTTTAATTGCAAACGTTCATCAGTAGGGCATGTGACCACTTCGACTGAAGATGCAGGCTCAATAGCGACAGTTCATACCTGCAAGCAGGTCATCAGTTACACTATGGGATACATGCCCATTCTCGAAGAAGACATGTTGTCAAATCATTAAGCTTCCGGAGAGGACTGCAGAGAAAAAAGATGTCCTTGTGTTCAAGTTGGGCAAACATGCTGGCCATTCCATATGATGCAATGTTTCATGTTCCACGTATGCGAGCTGTTTGTACTTGGCGCTATTGCCCATAAACATGGCATCAGGACCAATGGCTGCCAGGTGTGGATGAACATATGGGCCGAGGATTGCATCCCGATAAATAACTGCTGTCACTGACCTGGAAGTAAAGATGTGGAGATCAGTTCAGCTGCCAGTTGTTATCCCTGCCCAAACCACGACATGAGCACAACTGTAGCTGTGTCTTTCAGTGATATTGTGAGTTTAAGATCAAGTTCCTGGGATTGTCCAGATCCTTATCTGGTGGGAATTATTATTTATTCAGAATTGGTTCTCGTCGGTGAATAATATATTTGCCATTTCTGTGGTGTCCAATGGATGTGATCCAGAGCCCACTGTAACCAAGCTCTCTTCTGTAAAATGACATTAGTAGAACACACAAAGTGATGGTCATCTGGAATACCAAAGACTTTAATATATAGCCGTCTACAAACAGTTTTTCAGAATGTCACTATTCCTGATGATGTTGCAGCTCTCAAAGCAAGTTGACAGGTTGGACTCATCGGATAACACTGAGTTTGCAGACGCAGATAATGGTTACACGCACGGTTATAACTCACGTCCGCTGCCAGGTATTTGTGATATTGTATGTTCATTTTGATAGTGATTCCACAAGCGGCTGATGATTGAATGGATGGCATTTAAGGCTAGGGCAATTTCTGATGGTCGTTCCCCAGAATGGATGCGTCTGATTGCATACCTGTGTCATACTTCATTCAAATGCCATTTTTTTTTTCAGAAATTTGGAACAAAGAAATTAGTACCATACAAACATAATATCCAGTGCAATAAAAGAAATAGCAACTGTTGATGTGAACCTGTTTTTATATCCATTGCATTACACACCTCTGTGTGTGATTATAGAAATCAGAACTGCTTTCGCATCGAACTGCAAGATACATACACAGATTCTGTTGCTGTAACCTTTTGTCTTCTCGAGTTATACTAATTTTATTCTTTGTTGCTTATTTTTTTAGATACAGTGTAAATATAAAGTGCTAAATATGGTTTTTATGTTTTCTTTTTTAACAGGAATACCTCATCCTCATTTACAGCATTTTTTAGAGAATAATGTGCCTAAATCTAAAAAGCATCCTCCAATTCTTGGAGTCGGTGAAGCCAAGTTAGGTGCAGCCATTTCTGAAGCATTAGGAATAAACTGCAGTGTCTCAGGTGCTGTACCTGAATTACTTAGAGGTAAGAAGTAGCACAATTTTTTTATTATGATTATTAAAAACATGAAATTTATTAATTTCTCAACCTTTTTAGCCCATGCACCCCTTTTACCATTGCTAAAAGATCATCCTCCCTCCTTTCAGAACTGAAAAAATACATGTATAAATTCATTTAAATTTAGATTTTTTTAAAACTTGTTTTATTAATTAAACAACAAAAAGTGTAATAAATGTTAATAAACACTAAAACTTGTATAAAAGTTTTATTTTAAATTGTGAACTATAATTAAATTCTTATATAATAAAAGGCTGATCATATCCTTGAAAAACTGTGAAATCCCCTTTCCAGTTGAGAACTCCTGACTTAGATTATCACCTATAAAGGAAAATACTATTTACATAGAAAATGAAACTCATAAGTAACTTAGTTTTTGAAGAAACTGCAATCTTTTTAGTTTCCTATGTGCTATTTTGCTTTTTCGATGTATAATGTGGGTATGCCTTTCCAACAGTTATAATGGGGTGGTTATGGATCAGGCCAAATTTCATCTGAAGGAAAAATGCAGGATTAGTATACCTTCCCCCCTTTTTTGTCTATTGATGCATTTTAAGACTTTTTAAGTAATGTACTTAATGCACTTTTAAGACTTCATCACATTCAATAATATTTAGATGAACTTATTATTTGCTTGCATCTGGTCATTATTCTAAGAAATTATTGACATATTGCACAAAGCCATAGGTTAAAAGAAATAAAACATAGAATTGGACAATAAGAAGTCTTTATTAAAAAATAGTGGAAATCTTCTCAAATAACAAAAGTACAGATATTGGCATTGTTGAATATTTCTACTATTTCAAAGTGTTGATGCAAAATAAAAATTATATGCACATCAATTACCTACACATCAATTGCTCAAGTCTAAGGATTATATGACCTAATCCATATAATAGGAAAAATGAAAAGAATACAAAAATTATAAACTTACTGCAAACAGAATGCCATCTGTGTAGAAAACAGTACTGCATTACCACATTGTAATGTGTGGTACATTTCACAGCAGTTCAAGTAATATCCTGGTTTGTCTGGGCACGTCGCGGCATGCAATGAACTGGAAGTTGATCTGTCAGCACTATCGTTATCTTCAGGGCAGATGTTTTTATTTTATTCGGCTTATAATTCCTTATTAAATGTAGTATTTCATCTCGATGTACTCCGTCTTTGATATGATTTAAATCAAATTCCTCGTCATTATAAATAGCACGAATACAAATAAAATAGTTTTCTGGTTGCAATTTTCTAATTTCGGCTATGCGTAATGTATGCTTTACGCATGCGCGCATTGAAAGAAATGTTTAATAAAGTAAACAAATAAATATTAAGCTTCTTTTTTTGTAAATTTTGATACCCTTTAGATCATAATGGCTCATTATTTTATAAATTACAATTTCATATTTTTAATTTTATAATTTCTGCATGCCATCTTACCAGATTTAAACTGATGATCTATAATCCGGAAAAATTGATAATCCGGAATCGCATAAGTCCCGACGAGTCCGGATTAAAGACTTTTGACTGTACTTCATTATATGAACAAAAAATGTGATTTTGGATGTCTGAAAGCAATTGAATTTTCTCTTGATTATATCTAAAACAAAACCTTGCGAATCAGATGAGAATTTCTGCTTTGTGAGTGAGAGCATGCATATCCAGAAACATCGTTCTTCAGTTCTCCAATTGGCATCGAGCTCCACTGCATGTCATCTGGCATATATTAGCCAATGAGCACAAAGCAAGCAAGCTCAAGGCTGTTATTTGGATGTTCTTTAGTTACTTTGTTCATCTTGTCTCGAGTTGTGCGAGTTTACATGCCTTCGGGAAATAGTTTTAGAAATTATCATCTTTTGTTATGTCTGCGAGAATGAAGTACTCATGTACGTTTAAAAAATTGAACACATTTGGCTTACCTTCCTTTATTTTCTGAAGGAAATGTAATAAATTTGTGATGTTTACCGTCTGTCATTGCGATTTTTTGATTTCGCATGGTGGAAGGGCGGATGTTCTCAAACATGTGCGTACACAAAAACACAAGGACAACATGAGTTGTTTTGAAAAAAATGAAAAATAAATTTTTCTTCGGAAACAAAGGACCAAAAAGTTATTAATGCAGAATGTCTCTTCTCTGCTGGAGCCTTTTTCTTGTAATTCTTTGGTAATTGGAGCTGCAACTACAAAAGTAGTGGAAGAACTTTCAGAAGAAGACAAAAATAAGTTTTATCTTCATTTTAGAAGTTACTTCTGTCGAGTATGTGATTACATACTACATAAATTTCCAATCAACGATGAAGTGATTTTACATGCTAAAGTTGCTGATGTTTCTGCTCCAGCAAGTGCATATTTTTCTGATATAAGGTGTTTTTTGAATAGATTTCCTGTGTTACTTCATTTGGTCATGAAAGATGATGATATTGGTGTTGCCACCAATAAATACTGCAGTTGCAAGTTTGCAGTTTACAATTAGAAAACTTGGATGAAGTTATAAAATCAGCTAGGATTGACATCTAGTGGAGTTTAATTGGAAAACTGAAAGGTGCTGATGGAATGTTAAAATATAGTAAACTGCCTAGAATTATGTTGGCCATCTTGACAGTTCCCCATACTAATGCGGAATGTGAAAAGCTTTTCAGTGTTGCGAAAACAAGGACTAAATTTAGATCTAATATTAGTGATGACACATTAGAAAAACTTTAATTAGCGAAAGCAGGCCTACGTGGCAGTTGCTATGAACAAAATTATGAAGTTTGTTTCATAACAAAAGCAAAATCTACCACTGTTCATAAGATTTGTACAAAAACTGATTAAAATGTCAACGATGCAAGTAATAGAAATGGGTTGTTTTGTGTTGCTTGCATTTAAGAATTAGTAACTATTTAAAATTAATTCATTATTAAAAATTATATTTTTATGATTTAAAAAGTTTTTTTAACATTGTGAAAAATCTTCTGATTTCTGAGTGTCATAGGTTGGTAAGTATGCTTTTAGAGATTGCTCTATTTTCAATTAGAATTAATTTTTTAGTTCACTTTGTGGTCTCTAATAACAGGCATTTTGTCTTCATGTTATTTTGTATTCCTTACTTTTCTGCACGTTTTGAGAATATCGTCATTTGTTTTTTAAGAACTCGTAATTGTGCATTTAAATGTTTGTGAAAAAATTATAATAGAAATCCAGTTTTTTCAAAATGGAAAATGGCTAGGATTGACTAATCGGAAAAGTGGTGGATCCAGGCCAATCTGCAAACACTAAGAATATTGGAAAGAAAAACTGTTTATAGAAAATGTAACGGAAGTTATCATTTTCGATTTCTTGGAATGGAGATGAAATGCATCCTCAACCTCAATTTGTTCTTTGCGGTAAACTATTATCCAGCATGCCAGCTTAAAAGAAAAATCTGAAGAATATTTTAAGAGGAAATTATTGTAGTTCAAAAACAGTAAACAAGTAATGAAAGGTTTTGTTACTTGAAGGGGAAAAGCTTTAGAAGCTAGTTACCTAGTAAGGCCTAAGAATTGCCAAGACTCACACTATTAAAGAAAACCTTATACAGTCAAATACCAAAAGTCCACCGACCTGAAATTCGCGTTACCTCTCAAAATATAAACATTCAATTAGGTTCCGGAGACCTCAACATAGAGAATGAAATATCTAAGAAAAAATACTTGCCAAATAATAGTTATTCATAACGGAAATACCAAATTAACATAGAGAATGAAATATCTAAGAAAAAATACTTACCAAATAATAATTACTCATAACAGAAATACCAAATTATTGACATCATGATAAAAAGTTTTCCCTCCTCCAATCTGTATCGAGGTAAAAAATAAATCAGAATTTCTGAAAAAAATTCTTTCAGGTGACTATTCTATTTGACTTTGTGATTATGAAAAAAATTCACCATCAAAGACTGCATTTATTTGTTAGCAAAATCATGGAATTCTGTTTCCCAAACAACATTAGTAAATGCCTGGCATAATGTATGTCCATCTTCTCTGTTTATTGAAACTAAGAGTGATGACAGTGAATTTTCTAGTTTTAGGGTCAGTGCAGCAAGGGTTAAAGTAAGAGAATTGCTTTTATATTCGAAAGAAAGAAAAAATGAGGAGGCTTTTGCAAGAAAAATATATTGTTGAATGTATGATGTGTTCAGATGAGCCAACACTGGCTCATCAAATGACCGATGATGAAGTCATTGACATTGGCTCTGTTTTGAACCAACACAGATTGTGAATTTGATAGGAGTGAGAAAATATCTTTTAATGAGGGCTTGGAACATGGTGAAAAATACCTAAAATTTTTAAAACAACAGAGCTGTGTCACAGAGCAAAAGATTATGATTCTTACAAAAAAAAATACTTTGGAGCATTCTAAAGTTTTAAAACATCTACCAGAAAGATGTAAAAAAAAAATTGAAGGCTGTAGTGTAGAATTGGGTGCCTCTTCAATTAGCGACAAATTTTGTGAAATTTTGGAATTTTTTGAAACCACATTTTTGGTTACCATGATAGTTTTAACTTACTTTTTTTTTTTTTTTTAAAGTGAAAATAAATCGATGTGTACATGAACCAAGTTAAGGCAGTGTGCAGTGCCTAGTTTGTGCAATTCTCTGATGTTTTTTATAACTAAAAATAGATCAATGTGCCAAATACCGAGGACACCGAGTTTGTGCAGTTATTGGACTTCTTATTTTGGTTTTTTGTTGCGGCCATCTTGAAATTATGGCTTCCTGGCACTAATCTTGGCATTAAAAAAAGGATCACCAAAAAAACAAAGGGCACCCAATTGTAAACTTCTACCAAAATGAAATATTTTATGCTTTATTAATATCCCTTATTTTTATATGTCTTTATTGTATATATCCTTAATGTTTTCAAAAATGCCTGTAATATAAATGAATAATATAATATATATATTTATATAGTTAAACACATATAATAAATTAATGTAATAATGTATATAATAATTTAATTAAATGTATCTAATATACCCTATTTACTATGAATACTATGATTTATATTTTCAGTTCTGAAATTTGCAAAATCCTAAAATCCGCACAAACTCTGGTCCCAAGCATTGCGGATTTCTGGACTTCTATTTTATTACCAACAGCTAAAAATATCATTTTAATATTATTCAATAAGAAAACTGCTACTGAACTTACTAATGTTTCATTATCAAATAACATTTAGTCGAGGTATTCATGAAATGGCAAATTCTATAAAAGAGACACTTATTCAAAAATAAATAAATAAATAAAACACAGTTGCAATTAGAAGAAAGTACTGATATAGCGAACTTTGTTCAATTATTAATTTACATATGTTTTGAAGAAGATAAACTAATAGCTGAAGAGTATTAATTTTGTGACTCTTCATGATGGAGCAACTGCAAGCGAAATTTTCAATGTAATTGACAATTTTATGTCTGAGAATGATATTGGGATAAATGCATTGCCATATGCAGTGATGGAGTTCAGGCTTTAACAGGGAAGCATTGTAGTGTTATTTTTTAAATAAAGGAAGTTGCACCTGAAACTAAATTTACTCACTGCTTCATTCATTGTGAAGCTTTAATAGCCAGAACAATTCCCCAAAACTTGAAAATTGTTAATCTTATCAGAAGCCAAGTTTTAAGTTCAAGAATATTTACGATTTTATCCCAAGACATGGACAGTGAACATGAAACACTTCTGATACATTCCGAAGTAAGGTTGTTTGAAGTGAGGTCCAGAGGGAAATTTTGAATTGTCTTTTTGGACTTTGATCAGAAATTTGAATTTTCTTCTGTGACTCAAAATTTGAATTGCAAAAATGTTTATTTAGTGGAATATGGTTGGCACATTTAACATATTTAGCTGATATTTTTGGAAAATTAAATGAATTAAATTTAGGATTACAAGTTTAAAGTCTTAATTTGTTTACCATTAGAGAGAAAATAAATGCAATGATATAACCATGAGCTAATAATCAAATAATTGTAAAATAATATTTTACGCTACTTACCACTCTTAGAAAGTTTTCTAACTGAAAATAATTTGAATAGCATCCGACCTTAAAAATCAGTATTTTTCATTCATAAGCAGTTTCAGCATGTATTTTTCCGAGGATTATGAGAAAGAAAATTGGATTTGAAATCCATTTTATTCAAATGTACCTAAAATTTTATCTTGAGAAAGATGAATTAATAGAAATTTCCTGTGATTGAACTCTAACTGAAGATTTCAAAAATAACACACTTGTTAATTTTTGGCTGAACCAGAAAATAGTGTTTGAAGGCATTTCAAGTAAAGCTATTAAATTTTTATTGCCTTTTTTGCACAACATATTTGTGTGAATAAGGATTTTCATCTAAGTTATATTTGGAAAATAAATACGGAACAAAATTAAAAGTGGATCCTAATTTACAGTTAAAACTAAATAAGACCAGACATAAAGAAACTGATCTCTCTTAAACAGGCCCAAATTTCACACTAAATTTTAGAATTAAAGTATCATAACTTAAATTTTTGATAATTAAAATAGTAACCAATTTTTAATCTAACACTTTTTTATGTGTGCATATTTAATACAAATAGTCAATAAGGTTGTGCTAATGGCAAAATATGTATATTTTTTAATATTTCTTTTGAGAAACTAAAAAATAATTACTGTAAATGTAGTGTTGGTTTTAAAGTTTTTCAATTTTTGTGTGTTTGTCAAAAGGTTGAGAGCCATTGCTTTAAGTAATTACTTCCCCGCTATTAAAAACAACCTGCTGACTGAAGTAATGGTATTATTAGTAGACAGAGTGGTGATACCACATCTGGAATCAAGTTCACATTTTTTAATTTTCACTTCTTGATTCATTGAAAGGTCGCATGCATTTTTGCTTGCCAATTTTTAGAATCCGCCTTTTTTTTTTTTTTTTTTTTTTTCCCCCCATGCTTCACTTTTTTGGTTTGATTTTAGATCAAGATATTCTGATCTAAAATGATTATTTTTATGACAGTGTGAGCAAAATTTTTCTCTCTTTGCTTTATTTTGAAGAAAGTCCTTAAATGCTTTTGAATTTGGTGAATTATTTTCAACTCTGTTATTGAATTTGTCTATGAATTTCCCCTTTATGAACTCCGGGGTAGTTCAGTTTCTGATTTCGCTTCAAGAGTGGTTATCAGTGTATCATATGAATTTAGGCATTGAATAAAGGAAAAGTCTTGAAATATGATCATCCTTTATGTCCACACCTATTGCCTTAAGCTTTTTGAATAACTCTTTATTATATAAGTTTGCATATCCACATTTTCTTCAAGCTTCAAACTATAAAACTTTTGTAAAAGAAATAGTTTCCCAAGAGATTAGGCCTTTCATATATCTCTAAATTTTTCCCAAGTAGTCTTAGCAGTTATTTCATGTTTAATGTGAATTATCTGGCTGTCTTCAATAAATAAATTTATCATCGTGCGACACTGCCAATCACGTCTATCCCACTGTTCGGGCTTGGAGGTACATCATCTATTACATCATAAAGATCCTCCTTTATTAGGAGCATTTGCATTTTGAATTTCCATGCTGAATAGTTACTGGAATTCAGTTTTATTATTTGTATTTGATTTGAATTCAGCATCCTTTATTACATCGTAAATTTATTTTCGGTTTAGGTAGGAATCTAAAATTTAGCCTTAACAATTCTTGCTTTTTTAAAAAAAAACTATGATTTTTTATTGTTTCATAATCTTTTGGTGTAAATATTTATGTAACAAATATAAATATTTACAACAAAATATTATGAGAAGGAAAAAGAGCCATTTTTCAAAATAAGGATAAAGAGCAGTTTTTCTTACCTTGATTTCTTGACAGTGGTTAGCATCATCACAGTCTTGAGTAATCCAAAAGGAGATTGTACATGGAATGGTAAACGGAATACATTTATTCAACATGTTAATATATGTTTAACGTAGAATAAGAATAACTAATTTTTTTACAATATATACAGTGTTCAACAGAGAGTTAGTTTTACACTGTCCTTTCACATTGGTGTGAAGTGGGACAGTTTTATTAGGGCACACCTAGAACAGAGAGTATATTGCCCTTGCCCTGTTGGTGGTTGATGATGCTCATCACTGTATACCAACAATTTTGTTGGCCTTAAACATGAAAGTACAACATTTAATCTGTTTATGAAATCCCACTGAGTATGAAAGTTGGCAGAGGTTTCACCAATCAGCAGATCATTCTTTATTTAGTTAGATAATAACGAGATACTTTTTATGGATATAGCACATAAAAAACTTAAATCACTTATAAATTTTTTCACATTACATCGGCATTGTTTATACAATTCCAAAGTCTTGTGTTGCGGCTTTTGTTGGACATTGCTCCTGTAACTTTGAAAATACTCTGCTTCATGTAGGCCCAAATATTAATCATTTTCTCAAAATCTGAGGAAAAAATAGAACCTGGATCAATCTTTAAAAAACTGAGTTTATCAAGAACTAATGGAATTTATATTAAACCTAAATGAATTTATTATGATCATTTTGTAATATCATACTTATTCATTATTAGCACTAAATCACACTATTTTGCAATGTGTATACATACACATGTGTGTTAATAGTATTAGAAGCTTTCTAATGGAATTACAAATCTTTCATTTACTAAATGTTTCTAAATATTCCAGTTACTTGAACTTTCTGATTAGTTTAGTGCTGGATAGTCGAGCTTTTACTATAATAAAGTTGTTAATTTGTTGTCCCTTATAACTGCTTCTCAAATGTGGAACAAAGAAAAGATTGATAATCATTGCTTTAAACAGAATTTCAGTAGCTAGATGTTTCCTTTTAATAATATTAAGGAAGAACAGTATGTTTCTGTTCCAAGGGGGTTCGAAACATCTATCGAATTTAACCATTCACTTAATTTTTAGGTAAAAACTGGCAGTTATTTATGGCAAAAATTTAATAGCATGTTCAATGTGCAGGTGTGCATTTATTGTCATACTCTGTTAAATTTATTATTTCTTTTTCTTCCATCATAAAAATTTTAATTGTAATTTTAATATAATGAACATTTGCATTTTTATTGTTAATTTAGATACTTTTTGGCATAACTTCAGAATAAGAATCATTCATGAAATATTAATGAAATTTCACAGATAACACTGCCAAACAAAGCAAACTTGTAAAATACTGATGCAATGTTCATTTGTGATATAAAAATTTGTATAATTTATTAAATGTTTTAGCAAAATACATTAATGTATGTCATTAATTAAAATGTTTTTTTAAGTTTAATTTTCATTTGAACATTGGCTTTGTTTTTATTTCTTCCAGGAATTCGTTTTCATTTTCATAAACTGGTTAAAGGATTCAAAGATATACGAGATGTTGACAAAGCTCAATTGGGCTTAGGACATAATTATTCCAGAGACCGAGTGAAATTCAATGTAAATAGGATCGATAACATGATCATACAAAGTATTAGCTTAATTGACCAATTAGATAAGGATATAAATACTTTCAGTATGAGAGTGCGGTGAGTTTCAACATCTTATTTTTACTTTTATTAAGTTCAAAATATATTTATATATATATACTTTTCTAAGTTCAAATAAAGGTACAAATAAAATAAAATTAATAATTAATATACATAAATATTTTTGTGTAAACTTAATAATGTTCTGTTATTAAAGTAAACAAAATTAAATACAAAATTAATTGTAATTAAAACAAAAAAGATATAGGAGATGAAAAAAGAAACATACATAAAATTACCAAACTCAAAATTGAAAATTGTATTTTTGTTTTATGCAGGCCGACATATATGTATGTATCAACTTTAAATAACAACAGAAAGACAGCGAGTACATATTCATAGACCAACTACTACGGATCTCCGTAGTTTCTACGGAAATTCATGAAAAACTACGAGCTACGAAAAGTATGGAAAAAAAATACGGATTTTTACAGAAACAAGAGCAGAGAACCAGTACGCAAAACGGAACCAACTAATTCATCCGATGATTGGCTGAATACTCGTGTTATCAATATCACGTGTTGAGTGCGTTCCTGTTTTGAAGAATTAGCCAATCGTAGATCAGTAACTCCAACCGTTAACGACTATCAATATGTCCACCCAATTGTCTGTCTCCCAGGTTCCTCGTGATGAGTGTTTAGGCTGCATTCGGCTGCATTGTGTAGTTTACGGCGAGAGCTTAGCGTGTGTCTTGTGAACTGGAAACAGGTGAAGATTTTAATCATAATGCTGCCTCGAAGAAGAAGCCAAATTATCAAAGCAGAAGTTTAAAGATTCATATTCTTCAGAATTTCCATGCATTAAAGCATCCGAAATTTCTGTGAATAAGCACACTGCAGTGTATGCAACAAAGACTTCTCAGTTGCTCATGGCGGAAAAGATGACTGTAAACGGCATGTGTTTTCTCAAAAGCATTAGAACTTGGCACCGTAAATCTAAAGAAATAACAAATTTCTTAATAAAAAGATGATGAAACAGATCCTATAAAAGCCGAATGCTATTTTGTTCGTTTTTTAATTGAACATAATCTAGCTTTCTGTTTCGGATCATTCCAAAAGCTTTTCAAAGCAATGTTTCCGGGATTCTGCATAGCAAAAAATTAGCTGGATAATACAAAACTGTGCTATTGTGAAATGGCTTGCAGAAATACTGTTGCTGATATTATAAATCAGTGTGCAGTACATCATTTTCTCTAAGTACTGATGGAAGAATGATAACAATGATAACAAACTGTACCATTGGTTATAACATACTACAGTAAAGAAAAGGGAGTGATAATTACTTCATGATTCTATTTTAGAATGCACGAAATAATACAGGAGAAGGTATTTTTAATTGTATAAATGAAAACTTTAAAAACAAAGGTTTAGAATGAAAAATTGCTATCATTTTCTTCAGATAATGCTAGTAATATGATTGGAAAGTTTAAAGGTGAACATCATTTATCAAAATGCTCACCAAGTATAATCACCCGAGGTTGCCCGTGCCACCTCTTGCATATAGCTGCAAAAAAAGCTACTGAAAAATTAATTGGCTCAGAAATTGAAATGTTGATAATAGATATATATTTTACTTGGAGGAAAAGTTCGAAACGGAAGCATAGCTCAAAGTTGCTCAACAAATTTTGGACAGAAGGCAAAATCTCATAAAATTTTGAAATATTGCAGGTACGAGATGGTTGTCTCTTTTAGAATCTATAACAAGGATTTTGGAACAGTGGGATGCTGTGATAATTTTTTTTGGAGATAATAGATAACAGTGAGAATGAAGGAAAGAGATTGCAAAACATTAAAAAAATTTTACAGTCACCGACCACCAAATTGTACTTGTTATTTTCGAAAAATACTTTGCCTTTGTTTTATAACAGTAAATATTAATTGCAACAACAAGCTCCTTATTATACATAATTGAGAAGAGAACTTTTGAACTTTTAATGAATTTATTTGTTAGATTCGTAAAACCATCAGTAATTTCTAAAGAAAATGAAGATGTTACTCTAACGTCTATTCCATTTCAGAAGTATAGTAAACAAAAAGAAAATGAAAATTTAGTGATTTGGTGCGGAAACAAGACTAATTTAAAAAATGCCAAGTTGAATGAAAGTGAAAGTGAAATCATTTTTCAATTCTGTGCGAGCTTTTTTTGTAACTGGCATGTTCATATATAATTGATAAATTTCCACTGAGTGATCCATTTCTAAAACATGCTGAAGTTGCTGACATCAACTTGAGAACTGAAGTCTCATTTTTCATCTGTTCTTTACTTGATGAATACTTTTCCATCCATTATTGATGAAAAATGTCTTAATCAAGTAAATTGAATTTTCCATGTATCAAGTAGATGATTTGAAAGAAATTGAAGATTTGCGTATTGATATAGCATGGGGAGAATTGCCAAATTAAAAAATATGATGGGTGTATTAAATACAAAGTATTGCCTTCTGTAATGCTTGCTGTCTTAATAATACCTCATTCAAATGCAGCTTGCGAAAGAATTTTTTCTATTGTTAAAAAAATCAGACGGAATTTCAACCAAATTTAGGTCTTAAAACTCTTGAAGCAGTTTTGATTGAAAAAAAAATATGCAGGCAATGAAGAACTGTGTTATAAAAAAACATTTAAAATCAGACTTAAGCTTGCTAAGCATGCTACATATAATCTTTGCATTCATAAATTATGCGTATTTGTTTAATACTTATATGTATCATTCTTGGTTATTTAAATTTTATTTCCCTGTAGAAATCATATCCAGATAAAGATATGATTTATAGCTTCTGATTTTTCTATGATTAGTAGTGATTTGAAGTACTTTTATTAGTGAATGCTTGAGGAGTAAAAGAAGAAAATTTCTAATTAAAATGTGCATATAATTTAACAAGGTATATTTTTAATTATTCAGTTTTATATGTATATGGATTTTAAATGTAATAAAATTGATTACAATTAATTATTAATTTAAAATTAATGAATGGTTAATTACAACATACGCTACGCGCACATTTTCAAAGTTGTAAAAATGTCATTCGCGCGTTGACTACTGACAAGGTTTGCTGAAGGTTGGAGTCTATGCATATTGTAACTTTATGTGGCTTTGAAGGAACAGTCTATACATGAACATCAGAGCACCTTGAAAATAACATCTTCTAAAATGCTATTTTCTACTTACGAAAGCCATGGTGCATAGCTACCTATTCTGGTTTTCATCGCATCTCTCAGTAAATCACCAAATCTCCTGGTTTTTATAATTTTTAGTCTTTATCAAGGAAAATGTTTTCCAGCAATAAATTAAATTTAAGCTTAGCAAATTCCATTTTCATAACCCTAATGATTTTCAGAGTAATTTTTCATATTAAACCATATTTCATCTAAATTGTATTTTTTGGTATTACATTTTATTGATCTTTATCTAAATTTCATTTGATCTGTTGTTGTCTTAATTTACTATAGTCATTTGTAGATTTTTGTATGAAGATTCGAGGCATTTTAGTCAGTTAATACAGTCAAAAGTCTTTAACCCGGACCTCAAAGCTACAAACTTTCTGCACATGCGTATGCGCATAATACCTTTATGCATGCACGTAATACGTTTACGCATGCACGTTTAATGTATAACAGACGGTATAAGCTAAGCTAAAATTATCTAATTATCTATTTCAGTTAATGTTGCAGATTGCGTTGTTCCTTAATCTTCTAATTGGATCCGGCTTATTATTTTTTGCAAGCTGTTACAGCAATTTTATAAAAGTAAGCTTGAACATTCGATTATGTCAAAATTAATTTCCGATTCTGGAGTTGCCAAAAGGATCTACAAAAGCATGTCGATGTCAACAAACAAAAAGTGGAATTGCAGCAAAAAATGGATAAAGGCATATCCTTTGTTTCTCTAATTATTTCAAAATCTGTTTATCAGTTTCACGCTGCTCTGCTGGGGTAGGGGGACGTCGCGGCGTGCAATGAACTGGAAGTTGATCAGTCAGCACTATCCTCATCTTCAGGGCAAAATGTTTTAATTTTATTCGGCTTATAATTCCTTACTAAATGTAGTATTTCATCTCAATGTACTCTGTCTTTGATACGATTTAAATCTAATTCCTCGTCATTATAATTCGCTTTCGATAGTGAAGAAAGTGACACAGAGGTTATTGCAAACGAAAAAATTTCGATTGACAAATTAGTCGGTATTCTCGACACAGCAATCATAGGACTTGAACAGCGGAACTTTGTAACTGAACAAGAAATTATGCCTGTTTATAGAATTAAAGAGAAAGTATTATCACATAAAACAAAGCAACTTAAACAACTTACATTGAAAGAAATGTTTTTAAGTAAACAAATAAATATTAAGATTTTTTTTTTTTTTTTTTTTTTGTAAATTTTGATACTCTTTAGATCATAATTGTTCTTTATTTCATAAATTACGGTTTCATATTTTTAATTATATAATTTCTGCATGTCATCTTACCAGATTTAATGATAATCTATAATCCGGAATTGAAAAATGTCTGAATAAGTTTAATAAGAAAAAAGTCTGAATCCCGACGAGTCCGGATTAAAGACTTTTGACTGTATTTGTATTTAATTTTGTTTACTTTAATAAAACGGAACATTATTAAGTTTATATACAGAAATATTATGTATATTAATTATTAATTTTATTTTATTTGTACTTTATTTGAGCTTAGTAAAAGTTTATTAAACTTAAATTTATATATAGACCCAACAAAAAGGGGACGGGAAAGAGATCAAAAGGGGGGAAAGTTCTCTTAGCTGAATTATTCAAATTTAAAAAAGAACATACCTTCTACCATTAAAATTGTTTAAGACATTTCACATTTAAGTGTTGGGTGTTATTGCAAATATTTCTGTGCATGTTAAATTTTTGCAATACAGATCTCTTAAGATGTCTCGCTACTGCTAAGCATGCTGTGTAAAATGAATCATTTTTGAATGCATCTAAAATGTCTGACTGTTTAGAAAATTAAAAAAAGAAATCATTAATATTTTCAATAATTTATTTAATTTTAACTATTAAATTAAAAACTTTTGTCTGCCTTAGTCTGCATTTGCCAATTAATTCCTGAGTGATATAGCCAGTCAAAGTGTTTGTCTGTGCTATATGTATCTTATACGCATATAATGCGTATTGCCTTACTGTAATAGAGAGCAGTGTATATATTGAATGCAATTCTTGCTGTAATTTTTCTTTTCATTCCTTTTTTACTGTATGTGTGTAATGATGTTTATGTAGCATCAGAGTGACAACATGATTTATGGAGTGCTAGATCTTGATGCATAAAAGGTAACAATCATAGTGGCCAATATTTGACCTTTTTATTCTTGTTGACAAACAATTTATGAAGCCAACACAAATAAATTGGCACAATAGGTACCTTTTCCTCTGTGTTTTCCACAGGCCTTTGTGGTGTAACAGTAGCACATTCTGCACTTATTCGAGAGGTCCAAATTCGAGTCCAGGCAAGAGCATTACTCATTTTTCATGTCTCCTGCTTCAAAAAAGCCTAATGTCTCTACACCTGTTCTAGAAATTTTTTGCATTTTTGATGTCCCAATAAAAAGAGAAGCAGCAACAGCACATCTAACAACAGTGCACACAACTGTGACATGTTCAGGGCAAAAGGTTGGGACAGACCCATTTTGACTTTGTTTTGATTTGTTGGAGTTTCAGTTTGTAAAATTCTATATATAATTAATGCTGTATAAGAGAATTTACTGATACTTTATAAGAGAATTTTACAACATATGTTTATTTGCAAATAATGAAGTTACAGATACTTATTATAAGCCAGTTGCTATTTGATGGGGAAATAGTCAAATTAAAATGAAGAATCAAGGAATATTGCATATTAAAGTTATTATTTTGCTTGATATATTTTTTATCTTGCACACATACACATACTTATATCTATGTAATTAAATTATATTTTTTTATTTTATGTAATTAAAATTATATAATTTTTTATCTTTATATTAGTGAATGGTATTCATTTCATTTTCCGGAGCTGATAAAGATTGTACCGGAAAATAATTTATATATCAGATGTGTCAAAGCCATCAAAGATCGTCAGAACATGCCTGAAGATATTGAACAACAGCTTGAAGAAATCTTGATGGATTCAGCTAAAGCTGCAGCGATTGTAGAACTTGCACGTTCTTCCATGGGTTTGTATTTTAGTTTATAGTGATCTTTGTAGCATTACCAGTTTTCAGAAAATGTTTCTGAATTCTGGTACAGTAATGGTTTTATCAGACGTATGAACACTAAATGCAGCAAAAAGCGTATCTGAAAAACCTGTTTTTCTCTAAGTGCTTTTAAATTGTTCTGAATTTTGGTATAATAATGGTTTTATCAGACCTATGAACACTAAATGCAGTAAGGAACATATCTGAGAAATCTATTTTTAAATATTAGGAAGTCAATCCAGGAGTATGAAGAAGCAGAATCTTTTTCTGATTGATCGACCTGCATAAAACAGAGCTGTTTTCTCCCACTATAGTATTCCTGGTATATACATAGTCCGAAATTCAGACGTCCATTATCCAGAATGATCTAAAATCTGGACCTCAAAGCCACAAACTTTTTGTTTTTTATTTTGTTTAATACTTTACGCATGCACATTTGATTTTTCCTTCCATAATAAAACATGTGGAGATTTTCACTTAAAAATTCCAATTCTTAATTTCACTTAGGCACTATATAAAATACCTTGTTATGGAAAAACAATCATGTAAGCATAAATTTGTGAGATTAGTAACTTGGCTTCATAGCTGAGTATCTACTCGGCATACATCTCAAACCAAAACATTCACCAATTTTTTTATATCCCTGACCCCGACCTGGCGAGTCATTATTTATTATATTTTGCTTTCATCACCACATGTTTATCAATACATGACAGCTTCAGTAATAACTCATGCTGTGGTGTCTAAATTTTTTTTTATATTAGTAATTAAATAACAAGAGTATGGCAACCTTTTATGCTAACATATGCTTGGCAAAGATCTAAATACTTTCCTTTTTTGCTTTTTCAATAAAATTTTTTTAGTTAATAATAAAAATATTCTTCATTCCTTCTTGCAGTCACAAATCATTATGTGAACATGCTTTCTAAAGTCTGAAAACAAGCGTCTATGGTGATTTCTGAGTGCTTTATTTTTTCCCATGGAAAGAAACACTGCACTACTAATGTTGGTGATATTTGAGGCCTGAGCATTTAATTCCCCAGCAGTTTGATGCTAATCACATATATCCATGTTGTTGTCATAATTTTGAATTTTTGCTAGAATTAGTGTAGTCATATTACAGCTTTGAAATGGTCATATCTGAAGTTCAAACTTCACATCTACCTTCAAAATACTTTAACCCAATGAGCTTCAGCTATTAAACCATGTTAAAAGTCACAAAAATTTGTACAAATTTCTACTTTCGAGGCAGAAAGTACTGTAGAAGCTTCTTCAGGTTATCATTTTGTGCTGTATTGGCAGATACAATTAGTGATGTGCATTATGTTCCCCCCCCCCCCCCCGAAAAAAAGAGAGAGAGTTCTGTACCTATTGTTCTTTGACCAGTTCAAAAAATTTATGCTGCATTTTCATGTATCAAAAATTTGACTTGCGTTTTATATTAGATTCACATGTAGCATAATTTTAACATATGCTGCTGCTGCTGTTTCCCCCTCCCCCCCCCAAGTTTGATTCTACACTTCAAATTATTACAACTCAGATTTTGCAAAAATTATGCGAGTCGTTTTGAAGATATCTGCATTAATAACATATCATTACATTTCATCCAGACGATGGAAAAATGTCCATGGTGAACTTCAAATTTACTTTAATCTTTCTTCCCCCCCCATCAATGAATGCTTTTGCTCTAAAAACAGTGGCGTAGCAAGGGGGGACATCTGTTCCCGGGCGCAGCATCCAGGAGGTGCCAAATTGATGGTGCGAAATTTTAGAGTAAAGTGTTTTCCATTCGTGGCAAACAGAAAAGGCGCACAATCTCCAGTTCTCCCCGGGCGCTGAAAACCCTAGCTACGCCTCTGTCTAAAAATCTTTCAAAACTTTAAAACTCATGTTATTAATTCTAAATTTTAACTTCAAATTTTTAAAAGATTTAGGATTTAATATATGATTAAAATTGTAGAGCCTTGTAGAATTTTTGATGTTAAGAAATTGAAAAAAATGTGCAGTGCCATTACTGGGATTTGTGGGTCTCTCGAACACTCATCGAGCACACTTCCGGTAACACGACAAAGACATGAGAAAATACCATATGTACTCTTGAATATACATAAACCATGTTTCCAGTTACAGCATTCTGCATGTAGAATGGTGGAAGGAAATACCTTATAAAATATTTCTGTATGTGAGAAAACAATATCAGTGTGTATCAGTGTATGAAAAATTAGATTTTGAACAAATCAAAGTAGCTATCTCAGTTTATCAAATATTTCTTAAAGTTATGTTTGAAATGTCATTGAATTTATAATTATAAATGAAGCTTTTATTTTTGCACTATTTAAATAATGCAAAACTGTATATAATGAAAGTCAACAGTGAAAATAATTGTATCCCCATATCTGCAGTTCACAACAAAGAAAGAAAGTTTTTTTGAGTTTCAAAATGTAAATCAAGGGACAAATAAAGCGCTCGCCAAATGTGAAATACCAGCCAACAAAACAAGCTTCCCACAGAAGTTTTATATTCCCACAGTAATTAAAAACAATATGAACATGCACAAACATTTCTGATAGATGTAACTAAATTGGAGAGAGTTAAAATGGTCAAGGTTAGAACCTCATACACATTCTCAGGTTAGCTAGAGATCACTCCTTAGAAACATGCTTTTCTTAGTTCGTAAGGGCTATAAAAGTGTCAACAGGGGATCATGGCTTAGAAACATGCTTTTCTAAGTTCATAAGGGCTATAAAAGTGTCAACAGTGGATCATGGCTTTCATTGGTCAAAGCATCTGCTTTTAATGATCTCCCTGTTCTCTCTCAATTGACAGTGATTAAATTTTGGAAGTAAAAATAAGTGTATGCTATTTTTCAAATGAAAATGGTGATTTTTATTTTTAAGTTATATATTTATATAAATTTTTCTGTAATAGTTATTATGAAAGACCATTTTGGTGTTGCTTTAGAATTATGAGGGTATGAAATCTTGTCTTGACTGAATTATAGATTGATCAATAATTATGTATACATTTTTTAGGTATTTAGTTGTTAAATATAAAAGGAAACATTTTTATTTTAGGTGTCATAAATGTGTAATTGTATCATTTATGTAAATCCAAATAATATTTTAGAGTCATAATTAATGCTTTCATGACTAAATTTAATAGATATAGAATAAACTTTTCAGAATTGTATTTCAAGTATAAATTTATGAAAATCTGATATTAATATATCCTTCATTTCTTTTCAAACAAATTTTAAATTAGTATAAAATTAATTTCTGATATATTAGTCCTTTTTCTTAGTAGCAAATTTCCACATAGAGATTCAAGTCTTCTCTGTCTCTTTTCCTTTTTTTTAATATATATATATATGTATTATAAACTAGTGCAGAATTAAGTTTGCTGACCATAATAATTCTAAAGCATGAAAGATAGTATAAAATATTTTTTAATTAATTAATATTGATATATATTATGCAGCATCTTTTAAAAATGTTAAAATGTGTGCAATAAAATTTATTGGCATTTCTATTTGGTCACCAGCTTATTGCTGTTACTATTTACTTTTTAAGACCGTCACACTCAAATGATCAGTTATACTGTTTTACAAAGAATTAAATGTAGTTTTCCCATGTGTACCATGAGTAATCGGATGTCTGAATAAAGGTGAGGGCATAGTATCTTTTTTTCTCTCGAGATTAAAACACTTTTAATATTTGTACAACACTGTTAAAGTCCTGAAAAATGGGCAATATCTAAACAAAACAAAACATTTTTTTTAGAATTTAGGAGCATAGGTAGTCAAACTGTTATATGATTTTTATTGTTTCTGTTGGAAATGATGGAAATTAATTTCTGAGCTAAAAATAGATTTATGTTTCATTTTCTGATTTTATATTATTAGGTTTTGCCTTTTAGTTATATTTTCTCATTCCTTAATATTACAGACATTAAAAAATTTTGCTTCCTTAACCAGGTATGGAAATAATTCCTTTGGACATGGAAAATATCATAATATTTGCAGAGAGGACAATATCTCTCATGGAGCGCCGCAAAGAACTGATGGAGTACTTGAAATCTAAGATGCACAATGTTGCTCCAAATCTTGCAACTCTGATTGGAGATACGGTAGTAGATTTTGAGTTACATAATTTTTTATAAGTAATTAAATGCTCTAGATAGCACAAACTATATATATTTTTTATAGGTGGGGGCACGTCTCATTGCTCATGCTGGCAGTTTAATAAATTTAGCAAAGTTCCCTGCTTCTACTGTTCAGATTCTTGGTGCAGAAAAAGCACTTTTTCGGTATGGTTTTATCTCTATGTATATTTGTATGTTTCTTTCTAAGTTAAAAGAATTATTTCCTTTAAAAATGTCTTTATCATGTGCAAATTTGTTGCTGTTATTTTTGTAGGTAAGTTTTGTTCAAATCTATCTTTTTAGAATAAAATTATTAAATCTATTTTTTTTATCCTTGTGACATCGATTTTTGACTCCTATGTGATGAGATGTCTTCGTAATGGTGTTCCATCATAATTATGCTGGAATTTTTATGCAAATCTACCCCTGTTCACCTAACAAAGGTGTTTGAAAAAGTTCCCCAGCATTCAACTGTCCACAACCTTATTGAAGTCAATTTTTAGCCTGAAAAAAGCAATTCTTCTTTCTTCAGTATTGCATTTTAAGTATAAATTTACATAAATCTGATTTTAATATAGCCTCTTTCCTTTCAAACATAATTGTATTGTAGGTTTTCAAATGTAATTGTAAAATAGTGCAAAATTAGTTTATGAATTGATGATTAATCATTTATCTAGTAAACATACTGCCACTTTTTTTAGTGAGATGTTACAATGCAAATAGGCCTCTAACTTGCTTTGTTAATCACAGTATTAAACTAGAATCAAACTTGCACAGCAGTATCGAGTGTAAAGGTTCCCAAACCTTTATCTAGGTTACTTATTTCAATTTAACTTTCTGAGCGGCGCTGGATTTTAGATCCGTCATGAAGACTGGTATTTAAACAGCATTTATTAATTGACTTTGTATAATTATTTGGTTTAGCCTATATTTTCATAAACTTACATTTATTAAGATGATATTTACGTTATTTTAAAGAAAGTAACAAAGCAAAATATCTTAAATTATAAGCTAATGTATGCCAAGTAGCAAAATTTCTGATGACCGGATAAAGCTGGTCATAATGCTCAGAGGTTTAAAACTGTTTGTCAGGAGAATGTGGAAAACTTTATGCCAGGGATCTTTTATGAATTTGCCTGGGCGTGAACATTGCCTGACTTACATTAAGGCGTCATCATGTTCTTGAAGGAGCATTATTTTGCATAAGTCTGTACATGAAAATGTGATTGAAGAAAAATTTCTTAGGTTGAAGCTGTGAAATAAAAGTGCTCAATGCATAGAAGATAGCTTTGATGTTGTTGAATTTACTGTTTGGAAATCTTATATGGAACATGAATAAAGTCTGTAATTTTTTATCCGAAAAGGTACATTTTTAAGTCAAGAACTCATGAGTAGTAATTAAAAAAACAAACAAACCTAAAAAAGAAGAAATGCCATATGATAAAAGCTCTGAAAGAGTCAGGCAGCAAAAAAAGTAGGCAGTTATGCAAGATAATTTAAAACAGACGAACAGCTTGCCATCCCTTATTATGTAGGATAAAGAAGTCTAGAAATCATAAGGTCTGCTTCCATATGCCAAAATTACAAGCTGTAACACCTATTTTCTTAAAATTTCTTACATTAGAGCTTAAGTTATGTACCTAAAAATATTGACAGGAAAAAAGTAATAATATAGAGCAGATAACTATATATGAATATATTGCAGTGGAAAAAGAATATTTATGTTTTTAATACTGTTCTTGATGAATATTTGAATTCTGTTAGTCACTGTCATCTTTGCCTTTAATGAATGGGAGGTAACATCATTAAAACATGTATTGTATGTTTGTATCTTCTTACCTTCCTTTTCATATCAATTAAGATGTATGATAGATACATTAGAGAGCTCTAATAGCTCTTTCTTAATACTGTATTCTAAAAACTAATTCCAGTTAAGCAAAATATTATGTGTTCTATTTCCCATGAATATGATGTTTTGCTTAATGTTATTTTACCAAAAAATAAGAAGTCAATCTTTATTGTAACTGGTTTGTGTACTGATTTCTTTCAGATGATTGTAGGAAAGATTTGCAAATTTTTTTGAGGGGGGGGGATAATCATCATGTCTATTGATATTTAAAAATAATAATGAGAGCATTTTGGTTCATAAAACTGACTGTACATATTTATTTCTAAAAAGGTCCGAGTCTTTTTTTATCCTCAATGTACATTTCTGTAAGTGATTAAGTTTTTAATAACATTAGTACTAGCTACTTGTATTGCTAATTTTTGCAATGTTTTATTTTGTATTTAGAGCACTTAAAACACGTGGAAATACTCCCAAATATGGTTTGATATATCATTCGACATTCATAGGCAGAGCTGCAAAAGCTAACAAAGGGCGTATTTCACGATATTTGGCAAACAAGTGTGCAGTTGCTTCCAGAATTGATTGTTTTAGAGGTAAATGGTAATTCTTTATCCTTATCAACTTAGCCTAATGTGTTGCAGCATTACCTTATGTAACTGTAACTATATTGCTGTCAAAGCTTTTGGAGAGAAAACACAACATTTATTTTACCTGTTTCACTGAAATTTTGTATAACCTAAAGTGAGTATGCATGCGAAAGGAGAGCTTTGTGCACCTCTCAAAATTAAATTAACTAAAAAAATTTAAGTAGCATTAATATCATTTAAGTTCCTGCTTTGGCAGTAAGTACTGATGATCTTGGTAGTTAACCTACAAAGCTACTAATCAAAATATTCAAGTCTGAACCTATCTGCTGTTTGTATTTTTTGCTAATGTTTTTAATTTTGTAATGTTAATTTATTTTCAAATAAAATTTATTCGAATAGCATAAATATTTTATTTAAGAGTTCTGAGCAAAAAGCAATTTTCCATTTATTTTGTCCAAATTTATTGTACGTTTCATGGATTACTTTGCTGTTAGTACATGATATTTATCATGGAAATGTCTAAAATATAAAGTAGTGGCGATGGGAATGCATTAGATAAATGATGATTTATTTGCAGTTTTTATTTTTATTGGTAACGTGTTTATGAAGGAAAAATACAGTATAGAAATTTTAAGAAATGTTATTGCAAAGTAAGCTAAAATCACAATAAATGATCATTAATTCATTGTACACAATGCTTGTATTTTCATTTTGAACATTTTTATTATAAGTATTTTCTATCAGTCATAAGTAAATTTATGGAAAGAATGAAACAAAAGGTAAAGTAACCTATAAAAATTTAAAAAAATATATGCTGTCCGTGTTTGAATTAATTTCTGTGCTCTAGTAATTAGCGACAAGATAATTGATTTTCTTATTTTTCTCTGTATTACTATTATTCTGATATTATTCATCTTATTGTTAGTAAATTAATTCACAAGGTCTTTTGTTATAGTGAACATATTAGGATCCAAAAATTGTGGTGTACAGAATTCTAAAGCTTTTTTCTAACTTGTTCTTCATTTTAGAGATACCTACTGAGGTATTTGGCCAGAAGCTTCGCCAACAGGTTGAAGATCGTTTAAAGTTTTATGAAACTGGAGATCTCCCTCCCAAAAATATTGATGTTATGGCAGAAGCAGTGGATGAAGTAATGTATTCTAACCTCTCTTTGGCTAAAAGAAACTATTTATTTTTTTTCCCACTGAGGCATTTTCCTATTAATTTAATGTACATATAATCAAAGATTTAAGTAAACAAGTTAATTATTCGGAATAAATTGCCTAATACTTGCACTAAAGCTGTAAAATAATTTATTTTATAGATTATCTCCTTTGAAAAAAGTAGTAAGAATTCTATTCAAATTAATTTTACTCATTATTATATTTAAAATGGAATTATTAAGAAGGAATATGAATAGGAATATAAAAATGAGAAATGCAACCAACCAAATAAGTAATTATCATTATTGACCATAAATTAGTTGACATCCAAGGGGAACAAACCAATTTCTGATCAATTAACAATAATTAATAAATGGGAAACTGTTTAATCTCTTTCTTAAGTAAGAATCATGACTAAAAAAGCTTTTTAGCAAAAGTGAGTTTAAGTTATTAAGATTGCTAATTAAAATTCAGTAAGAAATTGGTGGTTCTGTCAAGTTTTAAATTATAGTTAAGTTTATTAGTAAGTCTTTAGTTTGTAAACTAATGCATTATAAACTACCAGCCTAGGATACAGGTAAGCTTTTTGTTGCTTCTGCTATTGTTGTATTCTTTTGATATGCTTAGAATCGAAGTTAAATATGCGATAATAATTAACATGCAGTATAGAAAGATTAAGAAATGTTTAGAATTAATAAAATTGGGTTTAATCTTACCAGCAAAGTCATGCCCTCATCCCGTTTCTTTGCTTTTGTTATTCTCTGTTCAGCTTTTGTTATCTCTCTTATCCTTTGATTGAGTTTAAACATTAAAATTGCCCTTGTCTGTTTTCTTTATGTGTATTTTCTGACTTTTAATTTGCACAGAGCATGTCTTCATATAAGAAAATCTAAAATTTGTGAAATGCACCTGTAGGTATTTTCAGTGCGACTTAATTCACCTGAGACATCAGAATAAGATCATGCATTTTGTTGTGAAATTGCTTAATTGCATCTGTCATGAGCTTTGGGTGCATTATTAGGTGGAAGCATGATTTTGCCCAGCACTGTCCCAGTTTTTGAAAAAGAATACTGTGGAAGACGGATCCAAGGTATACCTCGTCTTCTGCCAAACCACTTGAGAGAACCACCAATTCGTTGTGTCTTTTAAGTGACACCATGATACAAAGTCACTATACATTTACCAACTCCCCCCCCCAATTGAATGGCTGGCACTTGCCTCTTTTCAGCATTGGCCACTCCTAAGGATCTTGGATCATATCATTAATTCTGGCCTCAACCTCCAGGGGTTTTATCAGTATCCTGAAAATTATAACCATTAAACATTTGCTTGGTTTAAAAATTTAAAGATGTACATTAGTACATCAGCGCACAGGGCTAAAATCAAACAAAATGAAAGTTCATGAGTTTGTAAAGTCTATACAAAGAATATCCTGCGTCTTGTGCTACGCTGGCATAAAGGCAGTCAGACGGGAGTCGTGATCTTAAGAGAACACCTGGTTGGTCAGCATCGAAGTAAGCAAAGTTCTTTAAAAGTTCTCAATTAAGCAAGAAAATTGCTTAATTTAAAATAAATTTTTGTATTTTTCTTTAAAACATAGTCCATAGCAATGAGGAAAAATACAAGACACACTATTTACACATTAAATATTATATGAAAAATGAAAAACTTAAACTTGTAGGCGTGGCTTATGAGAACCAATGCAGTGCAGTTAGAGCTCGAAGCACAAAATCATAAAATAAAGTCCAAAACAGGTAAAATCTTGAGTAAATAAAACTATGTACAGTCTTACAAGTTGAAGAACAATATATACAGAAAGATGAAACTCCTAAGGCCAAAAGTGGTGGCCATTTTATTGTGGAGGCACCTAATAGGGAGCCACTGTTACCTCCAATGAGGGGAAGACAGTATACATCCACGATTCAAACTCGGGCCCTTTGGTTTTTGCAGTCGGCTTCCCTAACCACTATACTGTCTGGATGGCACATTTACCAACATCAAAACCTTCTTCAAAATTTGAAATTCTTATAGCTCAGAATTTATGCTGGTGCAAAGTAATTTTTAGTCAATTTGTAGAGACATTAGGTTCTACAACACGAGAGATAAAATTAGCAATGCTCTCGCTGGGACTTGAACTACGAACCTCTTGAATATGCGCTAAGTATGCTGGCCATTACACTACGAAGGCATGCTAAGAAAGTGGGAGAAATAAATACCTTATATACTTCCCCTTTTAAAAGGCAACTGGGGATTAGGGGACCTAACTGCCAAATCCAGGTGGTGGAGAATCATTTTCCACCACTTTTTTTAGTTCAGACCTAGAGACATTAGGTTTTTTTTTAAAGCAGGAGAGATGAAAAATGAGCAATACCCTCGCCAGCACTCAAACCATGGAGCTCTTGAATATGCGCTGATTGTGCTGATCACTACACCATGAAGGCATGCTAAGAAGATGGGAGAAATGCCTTGTATCAGCAACCCCTCTACCGAGAATGTTAAATTGGCCATTTTCGATGTACCTTTTCTAAAAATCTGCAATAGACACTAACACTTGAAATTTTTTGTGTAGTTAAAGTATACCTATCTGATTATATTGAAATGAGCTTTTGAAACATTTTGAATTTTAGAGTAATTTACGGAATATTATGTTGGGCATAGTAAAATTTAGCATTTTTCTCAGACAGAAAATTTAAAACATTTTTTTTTTCTAAGTTTATCACAAAAAGCTCATTTCAGTAAATATCAGGAAACCTAATAAATAAGCCATAAAAATGAGCAGTAGTTCCTGAGAAAAGGTACACCGAGTATAAAAAAATCATGTTTGGAAATAAATGCATTTTTATGTAAAATTTCTCATTGATCAAAGCAGTCAAAGACAAATTAAAACTAGATTTTTTACAGTTGTAATTTTCATAGAAATTAAACAATGGTATTTTTAGAAAGATAAAAGTGTAGAGAATTTGAAAATGCAAAAATCCAAAATCACAATTTTGGGGTTCTAACACCCCTTAAGTGTTCAAATCATTCAAAAATTCAAAATTAAAAAAAAAAATTAAAAATGTTCCCTGAGTGAAATCTACTTGATTTGTTTATTAATACTAAACTGATATTTAGCAAAAATGCTAGAAATTTTATTATAAACTCGAAGGAAACTGGTGTACTAAATACACAGTTCATATTCTTGTTTTGGTAAGCTTTCTGGGTTTCTGAGATTTAAATATGTATGTAATAGTGCAAATAATTATGTTCATTGATGCATATTTTCATTTTGACTAAGTTAATGTTTTATTATTAGCATAAATAATATTTTGGAGTATGTTTGTAAATTGAAAATTACCATTTTAACTTGATTGATATTCACCACTGTGTGAAAAATCAAATTATTACTTTTATATAATTCTGTTTGCATAACCAATTCGTAGCAAGCCTGCAATCTTTAATAAGGCATGGAATACATAACTGTTCTTTTTGTAGAATGGGCCATTTAAAATATATTGGTACAAAAGTTTTGTGAAGAGTCTGTCTTGAAGGAAGAGAGGTACGAGAATTTTAATTTCACTTGTTTCCTAACATGCATTTTATCTAAACAGGTGTGATCAATACAAAGTTCTACTGTCATCAGCATGATGTTTAAAACTGAATGTCAACCCGGCTGATCATCCTGCAATTTCCCGTGATTTCCGCGGGCATATGTTTTTCTTCCTTTATTGACAAGCGGATCTCGGTTTTTTCCCCGTTTAACCATTGAAATAAATTATATACAGTATTACATGTTTAGTTTATGTTTTGGCCAAAAGATATCATTAGTTGTCCACTAAATTGCGGCATTTGAAGGCACGTTGTATTAGCGCTCAAACTTCACTTTCTGCCACTTTTTCTTATAGAAATGGCTGCTAGAAAACGTTCAGCTATTATCTTGATTATTTAATTAAATTATTGAATTATTAATTAGATTTAGTGATTAGATTGACTTTATTGATTTGTCGATCTGTTGCAAAGACTGTAAAGTTGGACTTTGCCTTGAATCCTGTTTTTGAACTGTATCATGCTAAACTGCATTTCTAAGGTATTTTTCCCTCAGAGCTTATATTTTCTTAAATTTTATATATTTTACTTTTTTATATTATGCAATAAATAGAAATTAACTGTAATTCGATTGATGTTTATTTTAAAAAAGTTTTTTTTTTTTTTGTGATAACACCTGAAATTAATTTTTCTGGCAACATAGTTTCTCATGATAAAAATCTATATAAAAAATATTTTCTAGAAAGAAAAAGTGCATTTTTCAATTCTCCAATATATATAGATTTAAAATATGCTCCCCCCCAAAAAAATACACAATTTTGGAAGCAATTTCTGTCCACAAATTGAGCAGTCAGACGGTTAAGAGATGTAAATGATCATCACTGCTGCAAGTACAGTTGTGCCCCATATCCACTAATTCAATATTTGCAGTTGAGAGGTTTTTGTTTGGGGAGGATAAGTTTTAATTTGTAGCTTTTCAACATGCATGTGAAATGACAACAGTTTGAAATATAGCCAAAATACTGTAGCTCAAATGCATCCAATACTCTGTGCATGCATTTGCCCTCTTGACCCTGTACCTGTAGACACTGACCAAGTACAATGAATGGAAGTAGTCACTTCAGAGTTTTATGTTATATTCTATGGTTACAGAAAATGCCTCAAATGTTTTACTCGCAACTCATCTTTATGGTCACAAATAAGTTGGTGAGAAATCTAATCTGTCAATGATTAGAGAGTACTTGACTAATCTTTGTTTCATTTCATTGGATTTGAGTTCACATTTTGAAAAAGGCATGGATGCTTATAAATGTATAATCAATGCCATAGGGGGCAAAATCCATCAAGCTAAAATTTCAATAAGAGATTAGTTGCAGAGGAAGAGGAGCATATGATTCCTAGATTTCCCTGAGTTGTTCTTGGGTAAACTGGTGCAAAGTCTTCTCATGTCACTACAGGTAAAATTTCAGGGCAGTGACAACAACATTTGATGACACCTTTTATGAGATTGTTCCGTTGGTATAATGTTTGAACATGGGGATATAAGAGAAAGTATTTCAGCAGAATTCCAAATAGGATCATGGTATTCAAGGTCAGGCAATATTCATTTGATGAAGAAAATGTTAGGAACTCTGAATTTTGTGTGTAATCAACACTCTGATATATTTAGTGTAAGTTACAGTTTCTGACATAATTATTACTAATTATAATTTACAATATAAAAATCTTTTCAGTATATAGTATTAATTTTCTAGTTAGTTTTGTTACACATTGGCTAAATTCTTAATTAGATTTTTTTCCCTCCTTGTAGGCAGAAGTAGTGCAGGCTACAATAGAAAAACAAATCAAAAAGGCGAAGAAAAAAGAAAAGAAAAGGCTACAACAACAGATGGCTGACTCTCTTCTGAATTCAAGTGGCCATTTCACAGACATGACAAATGATTCAATAGACATTCAGGCTGACACAGAACATGGGGAACAAAATGGTTCGATTAAAAAGAAGAAAAAGAAGAAGAAGATTAAACAGGAAGAAGAAAGTTTTGAGCAGTGAGTATTAGATTATTTTATGTCTGATATTTGTAAATTTCATCTTAGCACATTAAAATTACACTTTTATGGGTTAAATGTATTTAAAAATAAATATCAATTGTTGTATGAACTTAAATCCATTTAGTGCGAATACAAGTTATTATTACTTGCGCAATTGCTGCAAAGTTAGTTAATAATAATTTATTTCCTAAACAGTATTGATTAATTGATTATATTATCTCCTAAGTTTAATTAAAGTAGAATTATTTTAAAAGTGTGCATCCATACTGGTAAGTTATATTTTGAAAGATGTTTTGAAGTAATTTGAAAGCAAAATGTTAATAATGTTTTAACGGGGACTGGAGTTAAATCATCACGAAGAATAATATTACAATTGTAAAAGTAAAAATTAAAAACATGTAATTATTGTCATTGATCGGAAATTAGTTGACTTTTCAAGGGGAACAAACCAACTCCCGTTCAATGATCAATAATTGATAAAAATACGTAAATATGAAAGTGTTTCGTCTTTACTCGAGTTATAAGTTAAAGCCAAACCGGCAATTCTAGTCAGGCCAAATATTTCCACGAATAGTTGCTACTCAAAGAACTTATTCTCATGAAGCATTTTAGTCAATTCAATTTGGAGTAAAAATCAATTACTGTAGATTATGCATATATAGGAATATAGAAAGTTATATATAGTTTAAATTATATCTGGTTGTAACGAAAGTTTTCCGCCAAAAAGCATTCTTAATAAAGTTAGGGAAAATAAACATCACCCCAGTCTATGATTTCCTACAAAACTTTGGCAGTTTTTCAAAGCCTTCAGCCCAGAAACTTGGTGGCCATCAGTCGAAAGACAGATCAACCTCATTTTGGATATCCTGTGCAGAATGGAAAATAGCATCAGCAAGACTTAGCTGCAGGTGTGAAAAAAGTAGAAGTCCTAAGCAGACATGTTGGGGAGGCAAAAGATCCCATTCGAATCTGAATAGAGTCCATTCAGTGAATGCAGACACATGCATTATCTTGATGGAACATTACCTTTTTGCCCCGAATTCCTTAATAGCAATGTCAACGCAGACTAGTATCTCGCTGTATACCTTATTGTCGAGGGTTTTACCTTCTTCCAGATGCTCTTTTTAGATAAGACAGCAATTTCACCAGATACAAAGCATGATCTTTTTGTTAGTCAAACTGCACTTGCATAGCTGCCAATGGGCTCATCGAGTGTATCAAAAAGGGGTTTTTGACCTGTGTTTGAGTAAATTCAATTTTCATCTCAAATGACGATCCGATCCAGATTATTCGAGCAGATTTAGTGCAGGACCGAACACGTCCTTATCTACTTGAGTCAGCTCATGCAGCACCCAGCAATTGAACTTGTAAGTCAAGTTTATGCAATGCATAGTGCGACTAACAGATATGGCACTAATGTCTAAACAGCAAGCTTTCGAGTGGTTGCATACTAATCTTCTTCCACAAGTTCTCGCAGGTGGGCCTCATCAAAATGAATAGGCCGGCCAGAGCGCTCTGCTTCTTGAATGTCATAGTCCTTGTTTTTAAACTTTCGGTACCAAACCTTCACAGTGTCATTTGATACAACATTAGTACCGAAAGCTCTACACGTGATTTGGTAACATTCCGTAGCTGACTTTTCCCAACAGAACTGGAAGTAAATGATTGTTCTAAACTAGTAACTTTGTTCTAAACTAGTAGCGTGATAGGTTCCATTTCAGACACCTTGTACTAAATGATATTTTTTTACAAATTTCACAACAATGTGTTCTAAAGCAAATCTCTTCCTTTAAAAATCCAACAAAAATCGTTTGATAAAATATGATTAATCATGACAATGTGAATTGTTTACGCGGACAATATTTATGGTAGCAGGAAACTTTTGTTAAAACCTGATATATGAATGCATATTTTGAAAAACCTTATGTTCATGGCTGTTGATCAAATTAAGTGAAAGTATTCTCTTTGAAAAAACTAAATGCATAGCTTGTCTGTAATTATCAAAAGAAAAAAAAGATCTAGTGTGCCATTTAAACTGAATTCAGAATTATTAAGCTTTGATCTTAGCCATGCACATTTTTCATAATGCATTAAAAATTAACATAAATTAATGTAATATGTGATTTTTTTTCCAGTATAGTTTCTTGTACGTGATTTTTAAGCAGATTTGATAGACAGTGATTGTTATTCCTTTTTCATAAGCTGTAGAGGAATACAAGATTACATATCTATTAAATTTAATGTTTGACACATTTGCTGCCAATCACATGCTGGCAAGTGTCTGGTGTTCTTGTTGAAGAGCCAATCAAGCTCTTGCGCATGGTGTGGAGAGATGTCTCGGGTACCAGTAATGTGCTTGCGCAGGAAACGCAATGTCTCATTAAGTTCAGTTGGCATTACGTTTTGAATATACAGTACAAAGTCTAAAATCCAGACATCCATTATCCGGAATGATCTAAAATCCGGACCTTAAAACCACAAACTTTTTTTTTTTTTTTTGTTGTTGTATGCTTTACGCATGCACATTTAATTTTTTCTTCCATAATAAAACTTAGAGATTTCACTTCAGAATTCAGGTTCTTAATTTCACTTAGGCGCTAAATAAAATACATCGTTATGAAATAACAATCATGTAAGTATAAATTTGGGAGATTAATAATTTGGCTCCGCAGATGAGTGTCTGCTTGGCATCACATCTCAAACCGAAACATTCACCTATTTTATATCCGACCTGGCGAGTCATTATTTATTATATCTTGCTTTCAACGTCACATGTTTATCAATACATGACAACTTCAGTAATAACTCATGCAGTGATATCTAAACCTCTTTTAATATAAGTAATTGAATAACAAGAGTAAGGAAACCTTTTCTACTAACATTAGACTTGGTGATGATTATAGATTTTTTAAATGCTCTAAGAAATGTTGATGAGGGAAAATTCAACAAAAATTTCTTTTCATATGCTAAGAATAGATTTTGTTAATGAAACTCATTGACCAAAAGATTACATTTCGTGCTATTTTAATTAAGAATAAGTGATACATTATTCACCATAAACCCAGAAGCGGCAGCAGAATTTAGGGAAGACACAATTTTTGGAATTTGTGGAAGCACTGAGCGGCAAAATTAAGGGATGAGAAGTTTTTTTTCTTTTTTTCTTTTTTTTTTTTTATAATTTTTTGGGGGAGGGGAACATTGAGATCCAAAGTTTAGGCAAAAATTTAGAACTTGGAAAGATGCTTTGTAGCAGAATTTAGAGACTGCACCAGGCGGTATCTCGCGCCGGCCCTAGATAAAGTCTTAAGTATATGTGGGAGTTTATTTATTCAGGACTTGGATTAGTTTGAAGCATGTGCAAGAAATAAACTTAGGTATAGTAAATAACTAATACAATTCAGGGCTTAACTCAGTACGCAATAGGAGCAAGACAAAATTGAGCGAAAAAACTTGGCTTTTGTAGCCATTCTTGTGATACTCAGCCAAATAATGTATAATGGACGCTATTTATTATAATGGACTAAAATTATCTTTACTGATTCTAAGGCATTTCGATTAATGTAGCAGACTGGCCTGCTCCCTGATCTTCTAATTTGATACAGCTTATTATTATTCTTTGCAGACTGTTGTTATTACGGCAATTTTATAAAAACTAAGCTTGAACTTTCGATTATGTCGAAAGGAGTTTCTAATTCTGGAATTGCCAAAGGATCTACAAAGCGAAACCATGTTTCAATGTCCATTAAACAAAAAGTGGAATTGCTGCAAAAATATGATAAAGGCATATCTGTCTCAAAATTATGTGAGGAGTATGGCATTGGAAAGTCAACTGTATAATGACATAAGGAAAAGGAACTTTTAGAATTTTTTAGGGAAGCAACTTAAACAACTTACATTGAAAGAAATGTTTAATAAAGCAAACAAATAAATATTAAGTTTTTTTTTTTGTTTGTTTGTTTTTTGTAAATTTTGATACCCTTTTAGATCATTATCGTTCTTTATTTCATGAATTACAATTTCATATTTTTAATTGTATAATTTATGCATGTTATCTTACCAGATTTAAATTGATGATCTATTATCTGAAATCGCCGAAGTCCTGACGAGTCCAGATTTCGGACTTTGTACTGTATATGCTGGTGATGGCATGGAGTGAAGGTTAGAAACTAGTAGTAAATGTATGTGGTTTGGAATGGAAACAAAGTTTCATTTCGTGCAAAGATCATATGCAAATAACATTGTTGCATGTGTACGAGTTTGTAATAGATTGAATGCAAAAGTCCAATAAAAAAATTCATAAAATTTATTTTTATCAAAAGAAATATATCAGAACTGTAGAATTTTCCTCAGAGATATTTGTACAGGTGTTCATAATATCATGCAAGATTATTAGCATAATTATTAACATGCTTCAAACTACAAAAAATGCAATATGCAAAGCACTAAAAGAGAAAGCTAACTCAAATACCTCAGTTCACGTGGAACTAAGCAACTGAACTCAGATGCTCTCTCTCCGGCCTTTTATAGTTTTAATCCACTCGCTAGAAATTTCTAGTAATTTCTGTTTCTCGAGATTTCTGGAGGATGGAACTATGGTTATAGCTAACACAGAAGACAATTACATTTATTCAAAGCCTTGTATTCTTACTTTTCTGGAATAGCTTTCTTATAAAATATGCCTCGCTTTATTGCATGGGGAAATACAGCAATTTTAATTATAATTCAACTAAAATTAACCATCTAAATACAAAATTCATACCAAAACAGTTTGCAATAATATCATAGTAACTATCTTTAATAAATTAATTTGTAATATGTACAGGGTGGTTAAAAAAATATCAAACTGTAAAGGCAGGCAGAGGGGACATAAATAAATTATAGGAACGTGTGTGTGGTAATGGCACGTTGAGCCAGTAGAGAACGCTGATGAGTGCAGCATATAAAAGCACTGCACTAGCTAGATTTTTGATTTCCCGCATGGATCTTGAGCTGCGTGC